ATAAAAAAGTTGGTTTGTGTTGCAGTTTTGGGCACTCGGGCTCAAAAAGGTTCGCCATCACTGACATAGGGACTGAGGACATGGGAATACCTTACATGCTCTCTCTTCCTCTTTCCCTCGGCATTTTCCTTTTATACATTCACCCCATGACTTCATTAAAAGCATGTACTGCAGATAAATTATTCATTTAGGACTGCTGAGATTAAATCAGCCGTATTGGGAGGAGTGTTTCTTTTTCAGTTTTTTTTTTAGCTGCTGTTGTCCACCGTTAAAGTGACACGAAACTGGTTTTAAAAAATAAATTATATTAAAGTATGTATTCATAACTCGTAAAAGTCTCTTCATTTGCTAGAGAGAATTAGAGACAATTATTACCTTTTTTAGTTTTGGAGAGTTTCTATTATCTTTTAGCCTTTAGATTGACTGTGTTAAGCTGACCATGCACTGTATGGATTTTGGACATTCGCTTTGTGGTTGGCCCTGTTGACCTCCTCCTGTCCAACAACCTTCAATTGAAATATCTAATCAGAAGCAGCCGCTGTGTGGGTTTTCTGACAGCCACTGCTGGTTTTTCAAAAGCAATCAATGCAATAAAGGCTGGGTGAAAGATTCGGTGCAGTATCAAACTGTTGGTAAATTTTTTATACATCAGCCCCAAAATCTTTGAGGAGGAAGGAGGTACAGTTCTTATAAATGAGGAACAATTAGGAGCCATGTAACAGATGTCGACATCCAGTGGCGTCCCGAGGCAGGTGTGGGGGGTGCGGCCCGCATCGGGTGACACCGACCACACAGGGTGACACTGCTCCACGAAAAGGTAAGTTGTAAAGCAAGCCGACGATCACCGCAGGATGGATCGGATCTGCAGATTGAGCATAATGGATCGGAGTCCAATCCATTATGCACAATCCGCAGATCCGATCCATTCTGCAGGGATCGTCGGAGGGGGTGTCGGCTTTCTTTACAGCTTACCTTTACTTGGAGCGGGTCCGGTGTCACCCCATATAGGTTGCATGCCGATGATCGCCGCAGGATAGATCTGATCTGCAGATTGGGGAGCATAATGGATCGGACTCAATCCGCAGATCCAAACCATCCTGCAGGGGATCGTCAGCATACAACCTATACAGGGTGACACCAGACCCACTCCAGGAAAAGGTAAGTTGTAAAGAAAGCTGATGATCCCCGCACGATGGATCAGATCTGCGGATTGAGCATAATGGATCGGAGTCCAATCCATTATGCACAATCCGCAGATCCGATCCATTCTGCAGGGATCGTCGGAGGGGGTGTCACCAAGTGTTACTGCACTGGGTGACACCAACCCTAGGGACGCCTCTGCCGGCATCTTTCAGTATTCATTTACAAATCCATGTACAAATTCTACAGTTACAAGCAATTACATTAGTAACTTAGTGCGCACTTATAGACTTCACTTGACATAAGGCAAAGAGCAATGCATAACATTCAGTACCTGTCGCATGCAAGAAGTTCTATATCTCATCTAAGTGTAGTGATTTGTGATTTGATTGGATGTTATGGGGTTTTTGGACATTTCATTAGCATTTGCTGCATGCACTGCTTTACAGTGGAATATGAAAATGTGAATTTCTGTTCAAGAGCTTTCAATTATGTGATACGAAGCAGGGCCCTCTGATTCCTACTGTATGAAATTGTATTGTAAATGTCTGCCCTCATGTTGTAAAGCACTGTTGGCACTATATAAATCCTGTATAATAATGTGATCATCATGTAGGTGATATATTAATATATCACGCTGTAGTAGTATACTATATGTTAATATGCTGTATGATTACCCCATTAAGGGTTAAGGTTATCAATACTAAAAAAAATAGATTTGTGTCTTACCTGAGGCTGGAGGCAGGTACACAACCAGTCAGTAGAGTTTATCATTTTGTTCTGTTTGTGTGTCTGTCTGACCACCCTCTGTGCCCTATCTCTATATCTCTGCACCGTTTGCGTCATTGTGATGTGATGCCACAGGGTCAACTCGTATTCTGTGCCAAAATTTTAATATCTTCACTGTAAGCAATGCAAAATCTCTTTATGGGTTCACGAAGTATTTATAAGTGGAATGTTCAGAATGCACCTTTATTCGATAGAATACAGATACCTGGTACTAGCTGTGCTTATTTGATAAAAATCTACACGTGACCTTATTCAAAGGAACAGCTATGACATTGTACTTCAAACTTCCAACCACCCTGAACAGCTGAAAGACAACTGTATATTGGAAACAAAAAGAGGGCGCACGGGCCTAGTGCATTACCTTTAAAAATTAGATTTATTTATAAAAAGTAAAATACTCACAAGAGAAATAAAATCAAATGGAAAGCATGTCACAAGGGATGAAATGTGGTCCAAAACCCCTGAAGGTGGTCTGGTGGGGGACTGTAGACCTCTAGATAGCTGGTGGCTGACTCGTTAAGAAGTTGACTGGCTCTGAGGAAGAGGTGCAAATGGAAAGCATGTCACAAGGGATGCAATGTGGTCCAAAATCCCTGAAGGTTGTCTGGTGGGGGACTGTAGACCTCTAGATAGCTGGTGGCTGACGCGTTTCGAGGTTGACTGGCTCTGAGGAAGAGGTACAAATGGAAAGCATGTCACAAGGGATGCAATGTGGTCCAAAATCCCTGAAGGTTGTCTGGTGGGGGACTGTAGACCTCTAGATAGCTGGTGGCTGACACGTTTCGAGGTTGACTGGCTCTGAGGAAGAGGTACAACCTCAAAACGCATCAGCCACCAGCTATGTAGAGGTCTAAGTCCCCCACCAGACCACCCTCAGGGGTTTTGGACCACCTTCAGGGGTTTTGGTACTATACAGCCAGCCATCTTCGCCAAAAAGCAAGAATGATGGCAGAGCACCCCTACTGGACACTGATAAGAACAGATACTACACTTGATCTTAGCCAAAAGTTTGTTTTGATCAGGCTGCCTTAACCCAACACATGTTGACGCACAGCATGATGAGTGTCAGAGTACTATGATGGTGTGAATGGGCCTTCAAGTTCTTTCTTTGTCCCATTAGTGAGATCTCTCTTCTCTTTCAGTTTCAGAGAAACAGCAGGAAGCACAGCTCCCAATAATTTTTACATAATATTTCTTCATGTTCATAATGTGGTGTTGTATTGGTGCGTCCATTACATACTTGCCTACGTGGCTACAGACTTTCTGCTATAGTGTGTCTCTCCCCCCCTTTCAAAAAGTTGTGAAATGTAAATAAGTGGAAATTTCTCTAAAGCTATGGGATATCCTCTCTTAGATAGTCGGCCTCAGAACTGGTTTATCTATTGGAAGACCTCCCTTGACCTTCTGACAACTCAAACATTTTGGATTTTCCATTACTACCATAGAGAATGAAGACCAGGACAGATAGAGAGGTGAATCTCCCTAGTGGGTGACACAGGCAGCAAGAAAACTCTAGTAGTTGTGGAAAGTGGAAAAATAGTGCTGGCCTGGTACTGCTATCTTAAAGAATTGATGTTGATGTAAGTAAACTGGTTCCCAGGCAGGTGGTTTCTACATTAATAAAAAAGAAGGAGCAAGAGGCACCATAAATTCAACGTATTGCTGAATGTATATTATCTGCCAAGTAATTTTTTTGAGGTGGTTTCTACACCCCAGAGGATCTTCATGCTCCCCTTGGCTTGTTAGTAATGTAACCAAAATGTCAACTGAAGCTCCATGCCACTGTTAAAATGTCCAACTAAAACTTTATTCCAATAAAAGTCAGGGCAATCCAAAGAGTGTCCAATGGGGTTGATTTACTAAATTTACTTTGGCAGCCTCTTTTTCAATCCCAATCTCTGAGGAAGGGGGTGTTTTTGGTCCCTCAAAACACTTTGGGGTTGATTTACTAAAGGCAAATAAACGGTGCACTTTGCAAAGTACAGTTGCACTCTGCAAGAGCAGGTGCTCCAGAGCTTAGTAAATGAGCGGAAGCTCTGCTGACTTCCATTATCCAATCATGTGCAAGCAAAAATGCTGTTTTTTTTTATTTTCCTTACATGTGATTGGGTATTCATTGCAAGGTGAATCTTTACTTCATTTACTAACCTCTGGAGCAACTGCTCTTGGAAGTGTGCAACTGCACTTTGCAAAGTGCACAGTCTATTTGCCTTTTGTAAATCAACCCCAAAGTGTTTTGGGGGTCCAAAAACACCCCCTTCCTCAGGGCTTGGGATTGAAAAAGAGGCTGCCAAAACAGCGGCTAAACGACCTGTACTTGTAATCACACAGTATTACATATCTGACTGTGGAGCCCGAGGATGGCCTCTTGCACAATTCCCATCCAAGCACCCTGGTAGTGTGAACAAGGACTGCTTGGGCAGTGCCAGGAAGCTGGAACATGGAACTTGAGCTTGGAAACACAGAGATCCACTGGGTAGAAGTATGGGGTTAAGTCACCAGTTGGCTTCAGCAGCATCCAGGCAGGTATGTATAGGATCACAGTCAGGTTCCAGGTTGGAGACAGGCAAGGGTCAGCAACATGCTGGCAGCAAGGTACAAAGTCAGAATGCAGAGTCCTGGTCAAAAGTCTGGGCCTAGGTCAGTAACACAGAAGAGAAACAGGCAAAAATGGCAAGGGAAATCCAAAGAGAAGCATCAGATGTAGCTGGAACAGTAACAAGATCAGCAGGTTCAAGAACAGAAGCTGAAGACAATCCAGAAATGAGGCTAGTAGACCTCAGGTTTAAATAGGCCACCAGACACCAGGATCTGTGGGCTTGTTCTTGTGCACACGTGTACGCCAAGGCCCATGTGTGCACATCTTGTGGGGCTTCTATGCTCAAGTCCCTGCACATGCGCACAGGAATGAGCACTTGCTGCACAGAATTGAGAACTTTCTACACGAGGCTACTGAGACACTAGAAGAAATACCATGAAAGGTCCAGTTCACTTCTAGTTCGTTCACAATGTTTTCAATCTCCAGTTTTCAACCAAAACATGTTTGATACTCTTTTAATTGTCTTCTTGACTTTTTTTGGAATAAAGTCATATGTGGACCCAGGGGCGGGCTGACCATTTGGAAACTCGGGCACTGCCCGAGGGCCCGGGGTCAGTAGGGGGCCCCATGAGATGCCCCTGGTACCTTTTTAATAGGCTTTTTTGAGTTTGGGCAAGGACACAGGGGCCCCATGATCCCCTATTGCCCGGGGGCCCCATGAGTTGCCAGTCCGCCCCTGTCAGTGGACCTTTTAGAGGTTAGGTTGTGCTTCACTTTAAGTTTTGGTTACATTACAGCAACTGAAAAAGTTTTGGAGTCATAGGGTCAGCATAGCAGCCAGACAACCAACATATTCCTCTTATTCCAGCTTGAATTCAAATACTGCTCTCCTTGTATAAAAGAGTTAAACTGAGGGATTTACTGTAGAAATCTGATATCTCTTCGTAATAATAGGTCTTTATGACTGGTGTTTTAATCTTAAACTGAAGGAGTTTTGAGGGACAGAAGCATTGCAGGACAGGTGACTCCAAATAATTCAGTTTGGCTGCCATATAGAATATAAATTAAGGGTGAATCTTTTTCGAATATTAATTACATTGTGTTGGTGAATTTCTGGATTGTTGATAGAAAGTAATTCTTTTCTGCGGTACCATTGTTTTCATAGATCCAGACGCCTTCCTCAAATCAGCCCGTCTGCAACGCCTGCCATCTTCGTCGTCTGACATGGGAAGCCAGGATGCCTCCCCACTCCGTGAAACCGTCAAAGACCCTTTCAGCTCAGAGTGCAGCTGTCGACGGGATGGCCTTACCGTCATTATCACTGCCTGTGTCACGTTTGCTATGGGTGTCACAATTGCACTTATCATGCAGATCTACTTTGGGGATCCTCAGGTAAGAACGCTGAAAATAATGTCAAAGGTCACATGTTGTTTTAAAAGTAAATCAAGCCACTATAAAATGTGAACTGTACTTTACCATATGTGTAGCTTCTAGTGAATTTTTCCCAGCCTATTTGGCTTTGAACTTGCTTTCTTGGTGTATGTATACTAACTTTTTTGTGGTCACACATGTACATGATATTGATATTCATTTTTGGACAGAATGTGGGTAGGTTAAAACCCATTTTATGTTATTTTATTCTACTTGTGTGTGACCAACATAAAATTGGGAATAGAATGAGATGACAGTCAGTTAAATGGACTGTTTTTTGGTCACATCAGATGAAGATCTCTTAGTTTTGTTTCAAACCACATGCCCAGAATGATCAATCTTACAGGTTTAAAAATTATGGACTGATCATTATTGTTACTTCAATGACATAACTGGCACAAAATAAATTGTAATTTTCTCTTGCTCCAGCTTCAGCTTAGCCAAGCCGAGCGTTTAGAATGAGGCAGTAGCTGGCTTAAAGGGAGATTTGGTAAAACTGGTGCACACAAAGTCTGGTGTAGCTGTGCTTAGTAACCAATCAGCTTCCAAGTTTTATTGTCAAAGCTTAATTGAACAAGCTGAAGTCAGAAGCTGATTGGTCACTGTGCACAGCTACACCAGATTCTGTGTGCACCAGTTTTAGTAAGTCTCCCCCTTAGTGTCTTGTTTGACAGTGGTCGGTGGTGCTTCAAAAATATGGACACCTTAATGCCTTTCCACCAAACCCTTGTGTCTCTTTAATTGTGCTGTTACCAGTGGCCAAGTGGTTAGCATGTCCACCTAGTATCACTATGGTCATTGGCTTGAATCCCAACCACGGCACTACCTTCCTGGAGTTTGCATGTTCTTCCTGTGCTTGCGTGGGTTTCCTGCCACACTCCAAAGACATGCTGCTAAGTTAATTGGCTGCTGTCTAAATTGGCCCTAGTATGTGTATGCATGGATGTGAGTTAGGGACCTTAGATTGTAAGCTCCTTGAGAGTTAGGGACTGATGTGCAATGGACAATATATATAATGCGCTGTGTAAATTGATGGTGCTCTATAGGTACCTGTAATAAATAAATATTACACCTGGGGTTGGGAAGGTCTGCCTGATCGCATAACTACTGTCATTGGCTTTCACAGTGGTCACATGATTAGGAGTTGATCCCACTGTCTCACAATCATTACTAGAGACCAAGAGCTGTCTTTGACAGCTCATTCACTGTGCAGGGAGCGCATTCTCAGCACAGAAACCTCTGCCACCCATGGATGCATATGTGTGGCATGCAGGCATTAAAGCTCACCCTCTTTGCTGCTGCACATATGCATTACCTGGCTGGCAAGAGATAAATGGCCTGTGTCAATGGCATCAGTTTGAAATGCTTCTGCAATCTTTCAAAAATCACTGACGGGGTGGGGCGTAGAGAGAGGAGAAAAAGCAAGTTAGGTCAATGTGCAGGCAGTTCTGCTGGTCTCCTGCATGTCTTAGACCAGCAATGGGCAAACTACGGCCCGCGGGCCGTATACGGCCCGGCGGACCTTTTAATCCGGCCCGCGGAGCGTGATACAAAAAAAAAACAGCCAGGGCAGCGCGCTCAAATGCAATGATTGGCCAGTCTCGCTGCCACTCACATCCTGATAGCCAGTGATTGGCTGTCAGGATGTGTGTAGGCGGGGCAGCGTGATGAACGTGAGGGGAGCTAGGCTCCTCTCACAGTCCGCCCTGAAGACCGGAACGGCGTGGGAACACGGCGAGAAGAACGCGCGGAGGTAAGTAAATTGACACAGGGGGGACTTGGCTTACTACTTGCTACTTACTTACTACTACTATATGAGGGATGAATTAATATGGGGGATGAATTAATATGGGGAATGAATTACTATAGGGGGGATGAATTACTATATGGGGGATGAATTACTATGGGGGATGAATTACTATATGGGGGATGAATTACTATGGGGGATGAATTACTATATGGGGGAATTACTATGGGGGATTAATTACTATGCTTACTATGGGGGAATATTACTATACTTACTATGGATGGCATGGTAGTGGCTGGGCCGGCCAGCAGCTAGTCCGGCCCCCGGGTCCAATATATGAACCCATTGCAGCCCTCAAGTCAAAAAGTTTACCCACCCCTGTCTTAGACAGTCCAGCTGTGGGAAGGGATACTGGCGCCGCTTTGTGTGATTTTAATTTAATCATTCCTGTATCCTAGAAAAGTGACTTTTTAGTAAAGCTAACGTTATAGACCAATGCTGCCAATAGAGATTGTGGAGTTGTCATTTCTTTAACAGTTTTGCACAAAACCATCTTTTCTCTTGTCTGCTTTGCCCTAGTATAATTATGGAACATTTGTATATAACATTGTCCCATTATGGAGATGTCTCCTCACTTCTTGTAAGACCTGTGTGGGGAAATCTCCCCAAAAGAGACACAGCAACAAAAATATAACAAAGGGGCTTTAACTCTTTCCTGCTCTGTTCAGATTTTACCTGGAGTTTGAGTTGAATATTAAAGTGTTACTAAACCCAGGACTCTGCATTCACTATATCTGATCTCCCACAGTACACAGAACATGGAAATGTGATTATTTTAGTAAATATAAACTGCTAAATACCTTTTCTCATCAGCAATATATAGCAGTCTTGTGACTTCTATCACTGTCCTGCCGAGCACTGGTTAAAGCTTGTAGGAGGAATTTTCTCTAGGAGGAGGCAGAACCCCTGACCTCTGTCTGGGCAGTACTGATTGGCCCTGTGCTGATCACATACACTCTCCCAAGAAAAAATAAAACCCTCTGTAGCAATACACACCAAACTGAGCATGTGCAGTGTCTCTACACAATATGTCTGATCAGGAGATAACAGGGGTGCACTGGAAGAATGGGAGGATCAGAGAAGTCAGGATCAAACAGCCTTTTTACACAATGTAGAGGATTAACCCTTAGGTTCCACAATGAGTATAACAAGCATGCTTTACTGCATATACAGACTGATTCTACTGTTGTGGGTTTAGTAACACTGTAAAGCAAAATGCTAAATAAACTTTGAGCATAGTTGAGATTTCTGAATGTGCACTTTCTATGTAGATATCTGCAAATGTGTTTGGGTAAAGGGTGCTAATTTGACAGTACTTGGTATTAGCAGTATGAGTTTTAAAATCGAAAGTTTTTTTCTGCATTGAGTCTCTTTGTTCTTGAATAGTACTATCTTGCACTTTTGTGACACATTTATTTTTAACGCAATGTAATGATACACAAAATGCATATGTTGGTGTTTGCCCTCTTTCAGATTTTCCACCAGGGGGCAGTGGTGAGTGACGCTTCCCATTGTACAGCTTTGGGTATTGAGGTGCTGGAGAAAAGAGGGAGCTCTGTAGATGCAGCCATTGTCACCACTCTGTGTCTGGGAATTGTTAATCCCCACACATCAGGCATTGGAGGGTAAGTGCAAAGCAGTTTATTAGCTGTTGTGGATTTAACTGCTAAGCTTGGTTTTTGTCATTGTTTTGTGGAATTGAGTTGTAGACAGCTGAAGTTGTATTTAGTTGCATGGTGTAAATAGCAAAGCTTTGTTCCCTTACATGGTGCCGGTCAATTTTTTTACAATATGACGAAAATTTTGTAAACACCTGACCATATCACCTATACAAGCTTATATTGCCTTATCAGCCAAAAGAACGTTTGTGAGGTCCGGTATGAGAAGACCTGACATTCCAATTTATCCCTGTTAGTAGGGTTGAGGTCAGGGCTTTGTGAAGGCCACTCTAGTTCCTCACATCAAACTCGTCAAATCATGTCTTCATGGAGTTGGCTTTGTGCACATGGGTACAGTCATGCTTGTACAGAAAAGGACCTTCCCCAAACGGTCACCACAAAGTTGTCTACATAGTTACATAGTTAGTCTGGCTGAAAAAAGACAAAAGTCCATCCAGTTCAACCATAAAAAAAAAAAAAATGTTATAATCCTATACCCACAGTTGATCCAGAGCAGGGGCAGACTGACAACTCATGGGGCCCCCGGGCAATAGGGGATCATGGGGCCCCTGTGTCCTCACCCACACTCAAACCACACCCAAAAAAGCATATGAAAGATACCAGGGGCATCTCATGGGCCCCCCACTGAACCTGGGCCCTCGGGCGGTGCCCGAGTGTTCAAATGGTCAGCCCGCCCCTGATCCAGGGGAAGGCAAAAAACCCAGAAAAGCATGATCCAGTTTGCTCCTGCAGGGAAAAAATTCCTTCCTGATCCCCTGAGAGGCAATCGGATATTTCTTGGATCAACTTTACCTATAAATGTTAGTTTCCAGTTATATTCTGTGTATCTAGGAAAGAATCCAGGACTTTTTTAAAGCAATCCACTGAGCTGGCCAGAACCAACTCTTGAGGGAGTCTATTTCGCATTTTCACAGCTCTTACTGTGAAGAAACCTTTCCGTGTTTGGAGATTACATTCCTTTTCCTCCAGATGTAAAGAGTGCCCCCTTGTCCTCTGTGATGACCTCAGGGTGAATAACTCTACACCAAGTTCACTATATGAACCACTGATGTATCTATACATGCTCATCATATCCCCCCTTATGTATTATACATATTGATCATATCCCCCCTTAATCTCCTCTTCTCAAGAGAGAATAAATTCAGTTCCTCTAATCTTTCCTCATAGCTGATCTCCTCCATGCCTCTTATCAGTTTGGTTGCCCTTCTCTGTACTTTCTCCAGTTCCCCAATGTTCTTTTTATGAATTGATGACCAAAATTGAACTGCATTTTCCACAGTCTACATTGTCTTTGTATTCTGTAGTGCTTCTCAGTACCGGTCATTTAAAGCACCTGAACTCAATAATTTGGAGGATAGTCCACCTACTTTCAGAAATACACTGTATCTGCCTGCAGTGGAGTACGGCCTTCTTTGCACCATGTACTTCCCCAACCTTAAAAAATAAACCACATAAAGTCCTAGACTTATGGAAAAAAATAGAAGCCAGGGGCTGCCTTAGCTCCCTAATCCCATGGAACTTTACCTAAAAAATCATTTTGGGTGGACTGAACCTTTAAGATATGTTCAGGTCTCAGTTCAGATGAGATGTGTAGGTACCATCTGACCACCAACATTTTTTGTGAAAGATTTATCCATGAACATGGATGTTCGGATCGCCAGAGCATGCATGTTTAATCAGCTATAAAATCAGGCACGATCTCTGTTTACCCAAAGTTTGGTCTGTCCTTGAGCACTGTGGAGAAATGTTGGTTCTTACCATCATAGGGATTATTTCTTGTCTATGAATGATTTAATCCTGTTTCACTTCTTGTAACTCTGCCAGTAACAACCTCTCCATTCCATATATGATTATCTCAAATAAGGATCCATTAACCGTAACACAATAGGTGCATTTAGGAGAGCTTTAGATGTTGGCCCGAATAAACACACAGCAAATGCCACTGTATAAAGGACATCTAAAGCATTAGTAATAGTTTCCCTATCAGTTACAGTACATATACATTGCAACATAAAGATGTACATATTAGTCCCAACTGTTCTTCTTATGGAAAAAACAGTCCCTCTCCCCAGCCCAAATCCCCCTGCTTATCATCCCTCGACAGTGGTCCCTCTTTTTGGTCTGATGTGTAGATTTGGATAAATGAAAGTACTATAAATCTATGAGACGGTTTATTTTGCTTAGAGTCCAACCTGTGTCCTGATGCTTTGCCTATTTTTAAACATTATAAAATGTAATGGTATCTCTAAAAACTGGTCAACTGTATTATTGTCAGGACCAGAGCTGTGGAACGGACAGGCAGGCCTAGTGGCAGGGTCACGCACCGACTGACGACAACCACCACCCACAGACCGGAGTCCCTCAGGGCGCGGCGTCTAAGTCCCAGGCTGCCCTTCACCAGGGCCCCTGATGGTGGGGATGGACTTGACGCAGCTAGGGACCAGGTCGCGGCCCCCGAGACACCCCAGCTGCGGTAATGGCCACCGCCAATGGCGTATAGCTGGTAGGAACCAGAAGACAATAGCGTAGTCGGGCAGGCCGGGTCGATAACAACAGGACAGACAGTACAGAACGGTAGACAAGAATAACAGGTCACAAGCCGGGTTCAGCAACGGGAGGTCAGATAAAGGGATAATGCAGAGAATAGTCTAGTCAAAAGCCGAGTCAGTTTCCAGGAGAGCCACGAGAGTATAAACAGAGCTTGTTGCAACGCGAACATACAAGACACGAATTCAAAGGGCATGTGCGGACAACAGGCTTATATGTGATCAACCACACCCCTCTGGGGGATGGACCGCAGAGGCCTGAAGGCATAAAAGACTCCCACCATGCTCTGCAGAAACCCAAGATGGATGCCAGCACATGGAGCAGCATAACCTCTGGGAAAAGGTAGGACCTTGACAATTATCAATTTCTGACTAAGGCTAGCCATACACTATACAATTTTCTGTCCAATTTTCTGTCCAATTTCCTTTAGATTTACTTTCAACTATGTAGTGCAAGGGCCTGCCTAATTGGATACAATTGAAAGTGTTGTTTAGGTTTGACCTCATATTATATGCTTTTTGGTAAATCTAAAGACATTTTCTAAAGAAAATTGTATAGTTTATGGCCAGCCTTACTCTAACCACTTAAAGGAGAAGTACAGCCAAAGCTCTTTTGGCTGTACGTCTCCTGTGGATCACAGGAGTGAAATTCGTTCTGCACTCCTGTGACCCGTTTTCAGCTGACAGCGGGCTGAAGCCCGATAACGGCTGATGCCACTCAGTCAGTCCAAAGCAAATACACTTTTGCACACTGGTACTGACTAGTATTCCAATGTTTCTCTTCTTCAGTTTTTCTCCATCACTGAGCTAATGTGACCCCAGCACTGATCGAGAGGGGCAGGAGAGGGTCAAACTAGGATGCTGTGCAGGCAGCTGACATCCTCCTCATCAACTGATGATGTCATTGGTTGTCAGGACGCCGGCGCCTAGAATGTCGTAATGGTCTACAATGAAAACCTGTGGCTTAGTGTAACTAAAAGGCAGGCTTGTTACACCTGCTGGCTTGTATACAAGTTTTGGGCAATTTGTAGACATTTTGCCAAGGCACCCCAGAAGAAACCTCAGGGCACCCTTTATTTTCTATTATATTCTGTTCTATTCTAATATGTGCTATTATATTCTGTTCTACTTTATTCGATTCTATTCTTTTCTATAAAGCAGCCTAAGTATAGGAATCATCATCTTATTTCACTTCTATAACTTACTATATTTATTGCAATATGTTTACAATTCGAATTTGAATTCATTTTTTAATTCAAGTTGATTTTCGAATTTGAATTTGGATAATTCGTTTTTTTTATCATTTATTTTGGATTCGTTGAAATTTATTTCTACTGTGATTCGGAAATTCAGACACACCTGAATGAAGAAAATTTTGTTTGAATTTCGATTAGTAATGAAACAAAATCTCATACTGTATCTAATTATCAGATCACAAGATTTTTGGTGAAATGAACAGCTATTGCTTACACTTACTAAACAGATCTAACAATAAAATTCACTTGTGTTTTTGTAGCACATTTTGGCTGTTGTAGGTTTCTGTAAATGCAAGAAAGTATGTATTATCCCCATGAGGTCTACTTATTTTTGCTTGTCTAAAACAATATCTAGTATAACATACTGTACTAACCGTGAAGCCATGCTTCATTGTTATCATATAATATATTTCCCTTCCCCTCCCTGTACACCTCTCCATATGTGTTTATTTAAAACATGGTTTATACTGTATATACTTAAGAATGTCCATAAAACCTCTGGTCATTGCTAGCAAGCTGTGGGCTGTTGGAATGTTTTTGACATGAGAGTTCGGTTGCAAAAGTACACCTTAACATTCATTACTGCTGGGGGTCATCAACCCAGGGAGCATGGTGACTCAACCAGCTGGAGACTTCAGGGGGTGTGTCCATGACTGCCTAGGCTCACAGGAAGAGGTCAAATGAGGCTGGGCATCATCCAATCAGGAAGTTAGGTATTGCCTACTCTTCATCCAGGATCAGAGGAGGAGTTCAGGGGTGCTGAAATGGTAGGTATTCCAATCCAAGCTTCATTTATGCACACAGCAGGGGGAAATGAAAACAAAACATTAAAAAAAAAAATGGAGTTGAACTTTAACCGGTTACAGAACTGCTGTTACAGGGCGGCACAAAATCATTTATATTTACGTAAATTTAGCATTTCCGGGTAGGGGGAGTGCACGCATACGTGTGCGCTGCTCTATCTGCTCTGCCATTGCACAGTTGACGATCACCGGGTCGCAGCTGGAGAAGCAGAACAATACAAAACGGTATGTTTCCCTAGTACAACAGCACACAGTTAACCCTTTGATTGCTCCAGATGTTAACCCCTTCCTGCCTCGTGTCATTAATACAGTGTCAATGCTTTGTATTAGCACTGATCACTGTATTAGTGTCACTAGGGATGTCAGTGGCAATTAATCAGTTCCCACCCAGTTTCAGAATGCTGGCCACAGTCCCGCAGTTCCGCTATAAGTCGCTGATTGCCGCCATTACTAGTATAAAAAAAATTTAATTCCAGTATATATACCTCCATTTGTAGACGCTATAACTTTCATATAAACCAATTAATTTACATGTAGTGTCCATTAGTACAGTGTCAGTGCTTTTTATTAGCACTGATCACTGTATTAGTGTCACTGGGGATGTCAGTGACACTTCGTGCCGCAGTCCCACAATATGTCTCTGATCGCCACCATTACTAGTATAAAAAAATTAAAATTCCAGTATATATATACCGCCATTTGTAGACGCTATAACTTTCATATAAACCAATTAATTTACATGTATTGGGATTTTTTTTTTTTTTGCAAAGACATGTAACAGAATACATTTTGGCCTAAATTTATGAAGAAAGTTGATTTTTTACAAATTTTTTTACTGCATATGTTTTATAGCAAAAAATCAAAAATATTGTTTTTTTTTTCAAAATTGTCTGCCTTTGTTTTAGAGCATGAAAAAAAAAATGCAGAGGCGTTCAAATACCACTGAAAGAAAGATTTATTTGTGGGGAAAAAGGACATAAATTTCATTTGGGTGCCGTATTGCAAAAAATGGCCTGGTCAGGAAGGGGGGTAAATCCTATAGAGTGTGTAAACATTTACAGTTGGTGGAAATATAGGCTTTTGCATCTCAGAAAGATTGGTAGTACTATTGTGCATTTTCATATACTGTATTACTGTGTTAAAGTGTTGCTTTTTTTCTTACTGCTCTTCCCCTCTTAGAATATTGCATGTGAGTATGTGCTTGTTACTTTTTCTTCATCAGAGGGGGCGTGATGCTGGTTCATGACATTAGAAACAACCTGACAGATGTCATTGATTTCCGGGAGACAGCACCTTCTGGTATCCATAATGAACTTCTACAGTACTGGAGGAATAAGGTAGATATCCAATGACTAACTGTACCTGTATGACAGCCCAGACTGAAAGTATGGCAACTCCGACATGTGTCCTGAAATATCTGTGGGCTTGAGATAGCTCCCAAGTTTTGTGAGCTCAGCCAAATGTATTTTTTATAGAAGAGCAAAATGTAAAGTGGAATCTCAATTTTTCTTGTTAAATATCTTTTTTGAAGCTTAAAACCCAACACCAGGAAACTTGAAAATTCTGCTCTGCAGTGAGGCTGAGCCTACATTGCAAGGGCTAGCAGCACAATCAGGGGCAGACTAACCATTTGGAAACTCGGGCACTGCCCGAGGGCCCGGGGTCAGTAGGGGGCCCCATGAGATGCCCCTGGTACCTTTTTCATAGGCTTTTTTTGAGTTTGGGCAAGGACACAGGGGCCCCATGATCCCCTATTGCCCGGGGGCCCCATGAGTTGTCAGTCCGCCCCTGAGCACAACCATTGGTCCTTCCCCTCATGCCAGGGTGCTAAATGTAATCTTAGACTCTGACCTCTCCTTTGGGCCCCACATCCCATCACTGGCTAAATCCTGCCGCCTCAACCTCTGTGACTTTCCAAAATCCGTCCCTTTCTGGTCAATGACACCACAAAACAACTTATCCACAACTTGGTTATATCCCGCCTTGATTACCGCAACTCCCTCCTCACTGGTCTTCCATTACACAGGCTATCCCCCCTTCAGTCTATTATGAATGCTGCTGCTAGACTCATACACCTTACCAAACGATTAGCGAGTGCTGCCCCTCTCTGCCAATCCCTTCACTGGCTTACTAACCCAACGTATAAAATTCAAAATACTAACCACAACATATAAAGCCACCCACAACACTGCCTACATCACCAACCTCATCCGCAGATATCGTCCAAATTGCCTGCTCCCAAGACATCTTGCTCTCTAGCTCCCTCTTCACCTCCTCCCACGCTTGTCTCAAGGACTTCTCCAGAGCCTTTCCCATCCTCTAGAACTCCCTACCCCAGTATGTCCGATCAGCCCCCACCCTGTCTGCCTTTAGGCAATCTTTGAAGACTCACTTATTCAGGGAAGCCTACCCCACCTCCAGCTAAGAACTGTACTTGAGTCCCCTCCATCAGATCATCATCCCCTGCAGCTATCACCTTTTGTATCACCTCCCCCTTCCTTTAAATTGTAAGCTCCACAAGCCGGGCCCTCCTATTCCTTCTGTACTGAAATGTATTGTATTTGTACTGTCTCCCTTATATTGTAAAGCGCTGCACAAACTGTTGGCGCTATATAAATCCTGTATAATAATTGTTTAGGTCTACGAAAAGTAGATTTACCTACCCAATCCTGCACTCTTTGGCCCCGCTGGACTGGTCACGTCACCGCAGCATCCTCTCCTTCATGCTCCAGCAGTCTAAGGTCCTAACGTCATCAAGACTAAAGCAGGATTCATAGCCCTGCATTGGATGTGACAATGCTGAGGGACAGTCCACTGCCAGAGCATGAGGGAGTGCCATTGTCAGGTGAAGCAGAGGATCTGGTAAGTAAAAGTGCATTTACTCTCCCCTAGACTAGGCAAGCAGTCAGCCTTTGCAGTGCAGGCACAGCCCCACTGTAAGGGAGAATTTTTAGGTTTCTTAGAGCTGGGCTTTAACCACTTCCTGTCCAGCCAATGTATATAAACGGCCGAACGGTGGCAGTGCAGGGTCGGGTGGCCATTTATAAACGTCTTCCCCGAACCCTGCTTGTGCGCACTCCCTGGGAGCACGCAGCACCGCAATCCGGTGCCCGCTGTGTCCGGACCGATCGTTGTATGGGACCTCTGTATGAGGTCCCGATCATAGGATCACTGATTGGCCAATCAGTGATCACATGAATAATAGTAAGCAAGATGTCACTTCCTGGCATCATTGCTTACTACTTGTGAAATCTGTGAATGATCACAGAGGTCACATGGTACAAGGCTATTCACAACAGCCTTGTACCATGTGACAAGTTGTGACCAATAACAGCTCACACAGTATTTCTCAATGGCTGCATGAATGCAGCCAGAGAGAAGAAGGAATGATTGCTTTTACAGCCTTTATGAAATAAAAAAAGCAATCAGTGTAAAAAAAAAAAAAAAATCTTCATTACCCCCCACAAGTAGTACAGTGTCACTATGGTGACACTGTACTGCTAGGGTGACAGTATGTTAAAAAAAACAACAAAAAATAAATAATAATATAAAAAAATTAAATAAAAATGTACAAAAACATTTTGAAAAATTATAATTTTTGGTTATAAACTAATTTGGATTATTTTTGTTTTACTAAAAAGATAATTGAATAAATTTTGGCAAAGATTGACAAGATTTATGAAGAAAGATTATTTATTTGCAAAATGTTATCGGAAAAACACTTTTTTTCAAAAATTTTGGACTTTTTCATTTATATAGCAAAAAATAAATAAAAACACCAGTGGTGAATAAATACCACCAAAATAAAGTTTTATCTGTTTCACAAAAATGCTAAAAAATTCATATGGGTACAGTGTTGCATGACTGCACAATTGTCATTCAAAATGTGATAGCACTAAAAGCTTAAAATTGGGCTGGACTTGAAGAGGTTGAAAGTGTCCGGACATGAACTGGTTAACAAATGTGTGTACAGACATTTGAGGTGTCAGATATATGGGTAACACACATGAGATAACGTAACCAAAGTGAGCCAAGATGAAGAGACAAAAAGATGGGGACCTAGGATATGGGAATCTGGGGGGACTGCATCACAGAAGGAGTACATGAAACTCAAAGCCCGAAGTCAAAAGCCCAGGGCAACGAGAGCACCAGATCACCAGATATTTTAAAATGGTATCTGAAAGTCTGAAAAGCAGGTAGATCAATCCTGATCACTGTTTGTGATGTCACTGCCCTGCCTCTCCACCTCTTCCAATCAAAGAACACATTGCATTCACTGAGAAAAATGTAAAATGTCCTGTGATTGGCTCCCGTGCTGAATGAGCAACCATCTGTTACTGCGCAGCAAGGTAGTTGCTCAGCACGGGATCCAGAAGATAAACAGGATCAATTTAGTAGTAGCAGCTACTAGTAATTGTCAAATTCAACAGGGGTAGGCCAAGTATGAAATATACTCGTTCAAGCTGGACCAATGTAACTATGCAAAAACAAAAACACTCCGAATTCAGCTTTAAACACATTAAGAATTAAAAATCTTTAGTGACTGAATATACAATATATAAGATTTCATTGAAATACATAAGTGATCTTTCTTTCCTCCCTCCATTTATACTAGCCTGGAGTTTTGGTTGGCATTCCTGGGATGTTGAAAGGCATGGATAAAGCACACAAGATGTATGGAAAGTAAGTAGAGATATGGGAACAATTTTTTTGCACATATTACAACCATCGTTGTATGTGATAGTCAGGGACGGACTGACCATTTGGAAACTCGGGCACTGCCCGAGGGCCCGGGGTCAGTAGGGGGCCCATGAGATGCCCCTGGTACCCTTTTCATAGGCTTTTTTGAGTTTGGGCAAGGACACAGGGGCCCCATGATCTCCTATTGCCCGGGGGCCCCATGAGTTGTCAGTCCGCCCCTGGTGATAGTCATACAGTAGGTGTATCATATGAGACAATGAAATAGAAGAAAGTCAGCGCTCAGTGATAATAAATAGCTGCTAGCAAAAAAGTGTATATACAGAAAAACACCAAAATGATAATTTTATACAGTAGGTGTATAATAAAAGTGTTGCTAAACCCCGGACCCTGCATTCACTATATTTGGTCTCACAGGACCCTGCATTCACTCTATCTGGTCTCTCACAGTACACAGAACATGGAAATGCAATTATTTTAGTAAATATAAACTGCTAAATATCTTTTCTCATCAGCAGTATATAGCAGTCTTGTGACTTCTATCAGTGTCCAGTCAAGCACTGGTTAAAGCCATATCCATATGACTCCAGGCATTCAGTTGAGAAAAACAGAATGCATGTGTGGGGGATATTTGATGCCTTCCTTTCTTTCACTCCTCCACTACTCCATGTATAAGCTCCATTTGTACAATACAGGTTGAAAGTCTGAGAACTATATCCTCCATCATGTGACAGTCCCTGGCCAATCCCCAAGCATCAACGTTGTCACATGAAAGGAAGGGGATGAGTCATGATCCTCCAAAACCGGGAATATGGGTGTTTGCTTTGCTCCCTGAAGCTGACCCATATGGAAGAAAAACATATTTTAAAAATATTCTTCCCAAATATATTGACATATATTTGAAATGCCACAATGTTGGCCATATTCAATATATTTCAATATATATATATATATATATATATATATATATATATAAACTGCATGTTGAAATGCATTTTTATTACACAATATATGAAAAATATTTTTAAAAATACATTTCAAATATAATGTATGTCTTTAAAAATACAAATCTACATTTTTGGAATGCATTTACAAATATATGTAAAAGTATATGTTAACATTACTTTTTGATATGTTAAAAATAATCTCACGAATATATTTAAAAAAAAATATTTTAAAAAATATTTTTCATATATTTTGTAATGTATAAAAAACACCTTTCAACATACAGTATATATATATATATATTTATTGAAATATATTTTGAAATATATTGAATATGGCCAAAATTGTAGTATTTCAAATATATGTCAATATATTTGGGAAGAATATTTTGAAAATATATTTCAAATATATTTTTCTTCCATGTGGGGAACGGAATGGCAGGGGGGGGGTGAAGGAAAGATATATGTTGGAGAGGAGAGCATTAAAGCAAACCTGTTGGTTTTCTATGTGCCAAAGCACAAGTTGGTTTGAAGAGAAGCTGTAATGAGAAATATCAGGACTGCCATTGCTAAACTCTACTTTTAGAAATGTTAATTCCCTGTCGGTCATGGGGATGCAAAGGTTTCAAAACTCTCTGAGCCACTGACCTGGAACAAGAATGCAAATTAGGAGATTAGGGTCTTGGGTCAGTGTAAGTGAACTGTGACCAAGTTTGATTCTCACCACTCCCGTTGGTTTGCACTCACACTGGTTTATAAGGAAATGTTCCCAGACATGCTTCCCTGCAGGCCCAGACTGGGACAAAAAATAGGCCTGGGCATTTTAGCCTGAGCAGCCCTGAGCCTTTCTATTGGACCCTGGTGGCGGAACGCCAGGACCTGGTCGCAAGTGCCACCTTTGCGACCCTAGTAGTTCTGCCACTGGTGTCAGCAGTTTTTTATTTTTATTTTATTTTTTCATACTTTTTTACAATTTTTACTATTTTATTTATTAAAACATTTTTTTTATTATTTTTACAATTTTTTTAAGAGCCCGTTGGGGAGCTTTGGTCAGATATCAGGGGTCTAAAAAGACCCCTGATATCTCACCTTTGGGGTAGAGAAAGACGATTGAGGACAAAACCCGGCAGTGATGCGGGGGAGGAGGGGGCCGGGAGAGACCACACAGGGACAGGGAGGGAGCATAGAAGAACCAGGGCAGAGGACAGTGGCTTGGAGGCAACAGAAAGAAGATAGATAAGAGGGCGGCGAGACAGCATAGAGGAATATATATGCATATAGAGGTCCATTTCTCTCCTGCAGCCTCAGAATGCCTGCAGGAGGGAGAGGAGGAGAAGCAGGCATTCAACGGTTGCAGGAAGGAAATGAGCGGATTGGTTCCTCTATATGCCACCCCCACTGCCCCTCCTATCCAGGTGGCCCCGGCCCACCGGGCACATGCTTAGTGTCCCCTATGGCTATTCCACGCCTGCTTTCCTGCTAACCAGACCAGTGATCACTGTTGTACTTCAGAGTTCTCTGTGGAGAGAACTGGGCACCGGCACAATTTGCACTCACACTGCAGCAAACCTTAGCGGATCACAAGTGATCTGTGCCGGGGGCCACCTGTTTCACGTGGTCTTGGACATGGTTCGGCGCACTCCCACTACACAAACAAATTGGTAGAAGGGGCTGAACCTTTCCTGGGATTGGTTAAAAGTGGTTCAGAAGGCCAGAGAAGGAGAGCCAACTAAAATTTTCCAAGGAAGTCAGCAATGACAGGCTTAGAATTTCTCTTGGCTTCCTTTACAAAAGGAGTATGTAAATAAGAAAGCATCTTTATAGCAGCCCTTCCCTTTGCAAATGTTTACAGAAATAGCTGCCAAATATGAACTATTCAGCTTATGAACAGCTTACTGGTATTTAAACTCTGCTCTACTCTGTCTCTGAGACTAGCTTATTTCCCCATTGGATGCCTCCATGTTTCTTTTGTAACATGTTAAAGACGCCTCTGCAATCAATATAGGTACAATCAATGCCTCAGACATAGAAGGTGGCAAACACCCAACCTCAAAGGCTTAAGTAAAAACCCAAAGTCATTATGGAACAAGAATATCTTTATATTGCAGGTACCACTCTATGGGGAAGCCATCCAGGCCAAGCGTCTTATTGTGCGCGAGGAACGCATGGCTAGTTCAATTTCCTCAATCGTTAAAGGAATATCTGGAAGCACGATTTGGCTTGCAGACAATTTAGGAAGTTGTATGTCTCACAGATAATCCTCCAATTCAACAATAGTGTAATGTGCTCTAGTATATAAATCAGTATAAAGTATAAAAGACACAAAGGAATTAACTACATCCCGGGTTTGTTCAATAATGACTCCTGTAGAGGTCATAATTCTTGGAATAGTACATAGTTGGAAGTGGGATCTGGAGAGATATGCCACAGATGACTATTTTATCCTCCAACTTGAATATCCTCTGACTTTGATATAAATGTTTTTTTTGGGTTCGTTCTATAAGAACCAAATGCAATTTTCTGGGCTTATTCTGCCAAGCAGCGTACGTGGCAGAGATAGGCATGGTAGAATGCTCTGCCATCGATGATTGTCATGTGTCACTGCTGCCTGCATATGTGAGAGGCCAGGGAAAAGGTTAGAGATGGACATGGGAGCTTGGCTCTTGACCAGCCTTTCTCAACCAGGGTTCCGCCAAAGATTGCTAGGTGCTCCTTGAGCTATGAGTGCTTTCTGCATGATCTTGGATATTCTTCACACTGACCACAAATGTAAGGAGTATTCTTTCCACTGACCATCACACTGATATACCAAGAGCTGTAGATACAGTTATTTTTAGCTGGGGTTCACTGACACTGGAAAATTATTTCAAGGGTTCCTCCGTGTTCAAAAGGTTGACAATAACTGCTTTTGACTGTTGAGAAAAAAATGAAGATTTGCATATTAACAATTTAGTTTGCGAAGGCTGCACATTTTATGCTTTGGAAATTTAATGAACTACTTTAATATGCTGTTCACCAATAGTAACTGAAAATGTTTGTATTTCTAAAAGAGCAGTTCTGTCCCTCTCAGGATTCATTCTGCAGTCTGTAATTAAGCTCCATGCATTTCTGCAGGCTGCCATGGTCAGAACTTATCTCTAAAGTGGCTGAAGTTGCAAGTGGTGGATTCAATACAACACATGACTTAGGTAAGATTAAATGAGAAACAGGGCTGGATTTTATATCTATGGAAACTTTACTGTAAAGTCTACCTAGAAGAGTGTCTCTGAGGTCTGCTCCTGGATTTATTACATATTATTATAGGTATTTATAAAGGGTTGACAATTCACGCAGAGCTTTACACACTGCACATATGTTCCTTCCTTCAAGGAGCTTAAAATCTACATGTACAAAACACACACACATACTACAGCCAATTTGGACAGGAGCAAGTTACCTACCAGCATGTCTTTGGAGTGTGGGAGGAAACCAGTGTAACTGAAGGAAAACTGCACAACCTCAGGGAGAACCTGCATGAAGAATCATTCTGGTTGGTTCATACTCCTTCCTCACGGCAATCTTCTAGAAGCAATAAATGTAGAGATGTTGATGCCAGGGAGTTTGCACTGCACAGAATGGCTGGCAAGAGGCTACAGTCCTTTTTGGGTTTCTTGTGAAAATTCTGCTTAATCAGGAAAGAGGAAAGTTCTATAACACTAGAATTAAAGTCAACCTGTCACTTGTTAATAAGAATCTTTCATAGAAATAAATTTGTATAAATAATAATAAAACTTTAATCACCCCTTGATTGGTATATTCTTACCTAATCCATCACTATCGTCTTCAGATGTTCACATGCCATGTCCGTTGTTAGTTTAGATACCTTTTTGCCAGAAAAGAGACTTCTTACAGAATTAAGAAGAGACTTCTTACAGAATTATCTATAATATCCAGTTAGGTGCCATAATACCTGTGCTATTGACTGCAGTTGATGCCTTTTTTCTATTGTAAAACTTGGGAATCTAATACATTTTTGTACAGCAAAAACCTGAACTAAAAGGCCCATTTACTGAAATATTCCTGCAGACTGATCTCCTCTCATCTACCTCTTTCTGTTGTCCTAAACACTCCACCGCTCTACCCTGCATATGGAAATCAGTTGGCCTTTGGATGGTGGCAAAGGAGAGGAATCAGATATGTCCATAAACTTTTTTCTCTGAATGGGGTTAAATCTTTCCAATACCTACATGAACACTGGAAACTACCGGCAAACAAGTCCTATCGGTATTTCTAACTTACACTATATTGCCAAAAGTATTGGGCCAGCCCTCCAAATCATTGGATTCAGGTGTTCCAATCATCTCCATGACCACAGGTGTATAAAATCAAGCAGCTAGGCATTCAGACTGCTTCTACAAACATTAGTGAAAGAATGGGTCGCTCTCAGGAGCTCAGGGAATTCAAGCGTGGTACCTTGATTTTGTTGCCACCTGTGCAATAAGTCCATTCGTGAAATTTCCTTGCTACTAAATATTCCATGGTTAACTGATAGTGGCTTTATAACAAAGCGGAAGCAACTGGGAACAACAGAAACTCAGCCACGAAGTGGTAGGCTACATAAAATGACAGAGCGGGGTCAGCGCATGCTGGAGTGCACATTCCGCAGAAGTCGCCAACTGTCTGCACAGTCAATAGCTAAAGTCCACCAAACTTTGTGTGGCCTTCAGATTTGCACAACAACAGTGTATAGAGAGCTTCATGGAATTGGTTTCCATGACCAAGCAGCTGCATCCAAGCCTTACTTCACCAAATGCAATGCAAAGCATTGGATGCAGTGGTGTAAAGCACGTCGCCACTGGACTCTAGAGCAGTGGAGATGTGTTCTCTGGAGTGATGAATCATGCTTCTCTGTCTGGCAATCCGATGGATGTGTTTGGGTTTGGTGGTTGCCAGGAGAACGGTATTTGCCTGACTGTATTGTGCCAAGTGTAAAGTTTGGTGGAGGGGGGATTATGGTGCGGGGTTGTTTTTCAGGGATTGGGCTTGGCCCCTTAGTTCCAGTGAAGGGAACTCTTAAGGCCTCAGCATACCAAGAAATTTAGTCAATTTCATGCTCCCAACTTTGTGGGAACAGTTTGGGGATAGCCCTTCCTGTTCCAACATGACTGCGCACCAGTGCACAAAGCAAGGACCATAAAGACATGGATGAGTGAGTTTGGGGTGGAGGAACTTGACTGGCCTGCACGGAGTCTTGACCTCAACCGGATAGAACACCTTCGAGATGACTTAGAGCAGAGACTGGGAGCCAGGCCTTCCTATCTGACATCAGTGCCTGACCTCACAAATACGCTTCCGGAAGAATGGTCAAACATTCCCATAGACACACTTCTAAACCTTGTGGACAACCTTCCCTGAAGAGTTGAAGCTGTTATAGCTGCAAAGGGTGGGCCAACTCAATATTGAACCCAACAGACTAAGACTGGGATGCCATTAAAGTTCATGTGCGTGTAAAGGCAGGCGTCCCAATACTTTTGGCAATATAGTGTAACTACCATGTCTGTAGCCTGCTTCGTTGCCATGAGGGACCACCCAAACATTTAACTCCCTTTGAAAATCATTGTCGAAAGTATCCCCACTTGGAAGGCCTTGTCTCCAATCTCTACGCCTCTCTGGCCAACTCGTTGAGCACGGGCCTACCCTCCTATACAAAGAAGTGGGCAGCTAACCTATGCATGACCCCCGACCATTCTACATAGACTAAGATTTGGTCAGCCTTCCTGGAATATCTTCACTCAGGAACATGCCTACAAACTACTTTCTTGACGGTACATGACCCCAGACCACATGTCTAAATATAACCCATCAGTATCCCCCATGTGCTTCTGCGGCTGTAGAGAACGAAGCACGTTATTTTGGTCCTGCCCCAAGGCAATTAGGTTTTGGATGCAGGTATATAACATGATCAGGTCAGTCCTTAATATCACTTTAACCCAAAAACCCTGGGTGGCACTTTTGCACAAACCAATCCCTCATTGGCTACAAACTAGAGGAAGCTCATGGGCACAATGGTACACGAGAAACTCACACCCACACCAGCTTCCTCAAAATTTGGGATCCTTGGATCACATATAATACCCAGATGACTGTGGACAGGACCATGCTCTCAATATGACCCTGTTTAGCAATTTGCTGGTGCTCTGGCTGAACCCTGTGGGAGAGACTCTTCAAGCCCTTCCCCTCCTGTATTTCCCCTCTTTCTTATCTCTTCCCAGGCAAGTCTCCCCTGTAACGTTTCTTACTCTCACCTCTTCTATCCCCCACGCTCTTTTTTTTTATCTTTCTTTTTCCAGTCTTCTTTTCACATTGTGTTTTTGGATATTGTCAGGGGAAAGCAACCCTCATTTCCTGAGGTACTGATTTTCTCAACTAAGATTCTCATGCATACTGTTAGATACTGTATTTTACCTCTAACCTCACTAATATGGGCTATTGTGCCCTTGCAACCATTGATACAGTAAGCCCTTCTTGTCCCAATATTTGTGCCCTTTCCCTGTACTATTGACTGCAGTTGATGCCTTTTTTCTATTGTAAAACTTGGAAATCTAATAAATGTTTACACATCAAAAAACCTAAACTGAAAGGCCCATTTACTGACCTAAAATCACAGTCATGTGACAAGCCAGGTCCAGTGTCTTTTTTCTTCTTTTGATCTGTAGTGTGAGAGGGTCCTTCTTGTAGTGCCACATGAATTCCTGCCCATTGGCTGTCCAAAGTGTCCACCACAAGGCCCTCACAGGGTCCTCAATGAGTTCCCACATGGTCCTGAAGTCTTTCAATGACAATGTCATGTTGTCAAGGGAGAAGTGGTAACAAGTCCAGTAGATGGGCCTGGTCTGTAGTCGCTCACAGGTCTTCACCCCTAAAAGTCGAGCCATGTATAGTCACATGACAGTGGTTTTATTTTGTGGGTGTTTCAAGCTTTTTTTTTTCAAGGGTAGAGTAGAATTTTTTTAAAGCAAACCTATCTTGCTTTAATTGGGCAAGGTCACAGGTTCACTTTAATTGCATTCTCCCAGTCATACACATACATGAGCCAATGCTGTAGAGAAGTAGAAATCCAGGAGGAGCTCCAAGGGTGTGGGCTAAGCACAAGTTCACTTTAAAATCTCAAAAAGGACACAAATGCAGATAAAACTTTACAGAAGTTGCTAATGGGTTACCTGCATTCTAACTGCCTCTTTTATGCCAGCCAAGGCCATCAGTGAGCTGAATGAAGATGGATTGTCAACCACTTTTCAAGAGGTGTTTTTCCCACATGGCCTTCCTCTGACACCGGGGACATTTGTCAGGAGGCTTGACCTCGCAGCCCTTTTGCATGACGTGGCAGCAAGAGGGGTAGAAGCATTCTACAACAGCAACATAACACGGGAAATGGTTTCTGAGGTAGGACAAAATGGTTACACCATACTTATTTGAAATGAACTATCCCAAGAACCTATATGCACTGGAAATTTAAATATGTCAACCTGTTCTAAGGTCCATATGGTTTGTCAAGTTTTAAAATCCATAATGAATTATGGAAAATAGAAAACCTGTTGCCATAAACCTTTTAACATGCTTTTCAAAAAGAATGGCTTGAAGAGTTCTTATTAGATCATCTGACTGAAAAATTCACACATTTTGAATAATCCCTACATTCTAAAATTTTCAGTACAAGAATCTGTTTAGACTGGGTTTGCAAAAGCCAAAGCCCAATGGACCAGGATTATGGTACACATATGGTGTAAGTTCCTTGGCACCAAACTTCACCTGCTTGCTTTAGAAACAATTGTTCCTTTCCGCTTTCACAGGTTCCTTCATGGACGATTTCATATTGCATGGCACGGCAGCTTAACTGAATTCTAAGTGTTATTTAATGATACATTCAATGTGTATGTTGAGGCATCCGTTGTGATCAATGTTTTATGTTCAGATTTTCTATGTTGCTACTGGAAAAACTGAGATAAAATTAAGTGTAAAAGGATATCTAAAGCCAGACTTTTTATAGAGTAGGGTATTATTTAAAACCATTGTTAGTTTTTGCTCTTTGGTTCCTATCGAGAAGGTTTCTCCTCACTTTGTTCCCTGAAGACACTACAGAAAGTAAGAGAAAATCTCTCCAAACTGATGGGAAATCCACTCATTGGTGTCCGTTTATGAACCAGCAGTAATAGATCACTGCTCAGTTCTCCGGCATTCTCGGAGAACACAGTTCTCCTGAGAATGCAGTTTATGAAGCAGTTCTCCGAACGAAGGGAGAACGGTCTCCAAATGCTGGAGAACGGTCTACAAACTCTGGAAAACGGCTGATTTTACTATAATCTCGTGAGATTACAGTAAAAGATCAGTTTACTAAGCAGAGGTAAATTATCTCTGCTTAGTTTGCGGTCCCTCTGATTCTCCAGCTCTGGGCTGGAGAATCTGGAGGGAGAACACAGATCTCCAGTGAAGGGCTGACATTATCTCCTGAGTGTCATAAACTGTGAATGACCAGAGAATAGCTGAGATCCGTTGAATCGCAGCTATTCTCTGTGTCATAAATGGACACCTTAGTTGTCACTAGTTGGAAGATTACCCATCATCTGACTTAAAGTTCTATGGTTCTATTCCTTCCCTATTTTTTTCAAAGACAAAAAAGTAGGCTTTAGATTACTTTAAAGCAGTACTAAACCCAAAAGCAAAATATGTAATAAATTGAAACTTAGCAATCATTAGATGTGGAGAATGCATTAGTTTTCTTTTTTTGCCCCTTTTTCCCTTATGCTCACCTAATGATCCTGTTAGTAATACACTTCCTGTGTTAGTGTGACTGCACTCTGGATGGAGGAGCAATGGAGACACCCTTGGACAGCAGCAGCAGGAGAGGGTAGTGTTAGATGCATGAGCAGATTTAGATGGGCTTGACTAATAAATTAAAGCCAAGCCTGAATGAAACAAACACAAGTACAAAGAGGGCACAGACACCTAGTGCATTATCTTTAGCACTTTATTGCAGGGTGACAGAAAAAATAAAATACTCACAAGCCAAGTAGACTACTGGCATATCAAAAAGCACAGAATCCTACAGTCTGTTCTCTGACTACAACACATTGGTGGATGATGTCACCAGCTTATGCGCTTCGGGGAACTGGCCCCTTCTTTAGAGCAATGGCTGGTGCATCCTCAACCCCAACCCTCTTTTTTTAACAACCAAAATGTTCCTTTATTGAAAAAGAATGGCAGTAGTACCAGGTACATAGACAATTGGAAGACTGAAAGAAAGGTAGGTGATGCAACTAGAATTGCATACAGGTGGTCTAATACAATACAGCATAAGAACAGAGAGTTATATTTGTATAAGAGTACAGTATCATTACCAGGGGCGGACAGACCATTTGGGAACTCGGGCACTGCCCGAGGGTCCGGGGTTAGTAGGGGGCCCCATGAGATGTTCCTGGTACCGTTCATAGGCTTTTTAGGTGTGATTTGAGTGTGGGCTAGGACACAGGGGCCCCATGATCCCCTATTGCCCGGGAGCCCCATGAGTTGTCAGTCCGCCCCTGATCATTCCCATACATCCCAGAATGCAAGCGAGAAGGGACTGCAGCTGTACCCGGACCTGTACCAGGATGGAGTACCTACAAGAGGAGCTCATTCATTGGTCCAGCCACAGCTGCCATACCCCATCAAATTTCAGTGGGCACTTCCTATTAATGTATGTCAGTTTGTACATAGGATGAAAATCATTAACAGCTTTTCCCAGGAGTCTATGGAGAGGGTGGAGGATGCATTCCAATGAAGTATGCAGGCGTACCTTGGTAAAATCTACTCCTGAAAACAACTGTAAACTCAAATGCCTGTAAATGACTATGTGTACATGGATACATAGGAAAACATTAGGGAGAGTTCAGGGGCTGCTGAAAAAAAACTCTGAACAGCTCCCGAAGGTCAGTTTAGCAGCTGCAGTGCACATGAGCCCTTAGTGTTAAATGGTTTGTCTAACTGCCACTTTTCCTAGACAGCTTGGTCTCTTAACAGAAGTTGGAAAATAGCAAGCTTACTGGCTGGGTCAAGAGGTGAAAATAAACAGAAAACAAAACTAAAAAAGAAAGAAAACAAATGCAGTAATCACATTTAAGGATGGAAAGCTGTGATATATTACATTTTTTGTTTTTGGATTTTAAGGCTCAGTTTACCCTAGCCGGCCCGAAGTTGCGTGATTTTCAGTGCAACTTTGAAGTCCGACTGTGATATGACTTTGAAGTGACCTTGATATGACTTTCAGACTCTCTGGCAATGAAGTCATTGCAAAGTCAGATCAAAGTTGTGCAGGAACATTTTCTAAAGTCGCAGCTACTTCAGTAGTGTCAATTGGAATGGATCTCATAGAGATACATGGCATTTCGCAGACCTTGCGACTTTGGGTCTCACAAGCAGGGGCGGACTGACCATTTGGAAACTCGGCACTGCCCGAGGGCCCGAGGTCAGTAGGGGGCCCCATGAGATGTCCCTGGTACCTTTTTCATAGGCTTTTTTGAGTTTGGGCAAGGACACAGGGGCCCCATGATCCCCTATTGCCCGGGGGCCCCATGAGTTGTCAGTCCACCCCTGTTCACAAGTTGAATCCTAAATCACAGAATGTGAACTAAGCCTTATGCAGGCCATAGACGGGGAGAAAACTGGATGTTTTTTTTTAAAAACGAAAAATCGGTCGTTCAATCAGCCGACATTACCACTATTGGTAAAAAAAAAGTCAGCTGATTTTCGTCCCGTCTACGGCCAGCAATTATATAGAATATATGCAGAAGAAGAAGAAATAGAATATGAAGAAGAAGAAGAAATAGAATATGAAGAAGAGAAGAAATAGAATATGCTGAAGATAAAGTTGCAACATTGTATCTATTTGTATCCATTTCGGATACAGATGTTTCTATTCGGATACAAATAGATACAATGTTGCTATACTTTTATAATAATAATATCGGACTGAAATTCTTTTTTTTTCTTCTTCTTCATATTCTATTTCTTTTTCTTCTTCTCCTTCTTCATATTCTATTTCTTCTTTTTTTCTTCTTCTTCTTCTTCTTCATATTCTATTTCTTCTTTTCATTCATATTCAATTTTTTTCCTTTTCTTCTTTTCCTTCTTCTTTCATGTCACTGCTCATGTACATTTTTAAATATCGGAAAAAGATCGGCAAGTTTGTCCATCATTGCCTCGAAAATCGGCAGAACGACAAATTTGGCCGATTACTTTCCAACAGGACCGATAATCTAAAAGGTCAAAAATCACGTAAAACGGCCGACCGATTACTAACGATCCAAAAATCGGACGATTTTTTTTCGGCCGATTTTTGGTCGTTTTTCATCTCATCTATGGCCCGCATTATCCTGCTTTAAGTTTCTTTTTCTTTTATTTTGCTATTTTTTTGTCAGCTGATAAGAACATACCAAACACCCTATAAACCTGTACAGGCCGAGCAAAGAAAATCAAGTGAAGCATTTTAAATGGTTCCTAATTTCATCATCCTTTCACATTTACCAGAAATGGAATGTATACTTTCATGAATAGGTATAACCTTTCTGCTGAAACCAGGGATTAGACAGAATCTGATGCAAGATCCGGTCACTGTTTTTTTATCATATTATAAAAAAATAAAACTGCCCTGTGACACAATGTGAATGAATAATGACGACTCTGTCTGAGAATGTCTGATTTTAATTAGGTGAACGCACAAGGTGGGCTAATGACAGAAGACGATTTCACCAACTACACTGTTACTGTGGAGAAGCCTGTGCAAACTGTCTATCAAGGTAATCAACACAGTTTTAATAAATCAACTTATGATTTATAGATGTGAGTCTTAAACTAAACTTGTTATTTGTGAACAAAAGCAAAACAGGGCACGCTCTCTTCATGCATTACCGTGGTGAAACACAAATTTATTTAAAAGCATAAAAATGCATACTCACAATCTAAAGGGGGTTAAAAACAGAGAAGAAGAGTCCGTAATGATGGTCCAACCTTGGTGAGGTAGGCTAACGCGTTTCGGGAGACGTACTCACTTTTTCAGAGCTAAAATGTAGGCCTGCTACTTGTTATTTGCATAAAGATCTTTAAAAACTGCACTGAAGCAATGATATTGCTGACTCATTCTTCTGAAAATGTTATTTTGGCTTTCACAATGATAAATTTGATTAAACTCTTGTCTACCAATGTACATTTATAAACGGCACAGTATACAAGGGGTTAAAACAAGCTTACGGCTGCTGCTAAATAAATCATATAAAAAATAAAATTAATTACATTTTTTAGGCACCTACTCCCACTTCTTCTGCGATTGCCTAGGCCGGGTGTCGGCAACCCGCGGCTCCAGAGCCGCATGCGGCTCTTTTTCATCTTTGCTGCGGCTCCGGAGCACACTGCCCACCAGGTGACAGGCAATAGGGTTTCAGTGGTCGGCAAGCCGCGGATCGCAAGCCACATGCGGCTCTTCTGTGTGCCGGGCGCCCGCTCCCCTCCCTCCTCTCGGGCGGCCGCCTCAAAAGTCAGGACTCTTTTAATCCGGCTCGCGGAGCGTGGAACATTAGCTGTCAGGATGTAGGCGGGGCAGCCAGGATGTAGGCGGGGCAGCGTGACGAACTCCTCTCACAGTCCGTCCTGAAGACCGGAACACAGCGCGGGAACACAGCGAGAGGAACGCGCGGAGCAAAGGTAAGTGAATTGAGACAATATGGGGAATTAATTACTATAGGGGGGATGAATTACTATGGGGGATGAATTATTATATGGAGGATTAATTACTATGGGGGATGAATTACTATGGAGGATGAATTACTATATGGGGGATGAATTACTATGGAGGATGAATTACTATATGGAGGATGAATTACTATATGGGGGATGAATTACTATAGGGGGGATGAATTATTATATGGAGGATTAATTACTATGGGGGATGAATTACTATGGAGGATGAATTACTATATGGGGGATGAATTACTATGGAGGATGAATTACTATATGGAGGATGAATTACTATATGGGGGATGAATTACTATGGGGGATGAATTACTATAGGGGGGATGAATTACTATATGGGGGATGAATTACTATGGGGGATGAATTACTATATGGGGGATGAAGCTAACTGCACGATCCTGTATATAGCATTAAGGTAAGAAACAATATATGCAGTGTCGGATTTGTTTTAAATGTTGCAATGGTTTTGCGGCTCCCAGTCTTTTTTTTCCCTTCGGAAACGGGTCCAAGTGGCACTTTATGTCTTAAAAGTTGCAGACCCCTGGCCTAGGCGATTGGAAGCAGAAGTTGTCCTCCTACCCTCCCTCCCTGAAGTCTTGTGGGACACGTGACAGGTCCCAGAAAATGACGGGGCCATTCAGGAAGTGCAGCACTACTCGCGCATGCACAGTGGCAAGCTGCAAGCTGTCACAGCTGGGTGCCCACACTGAAGATGCCGGCACCTAGAATACAGGACGGCTGGTGAAATGGGCTGCGGCGGGGGGCAACGCGGGATCATGAAACAGGCGAGTGGCTGTTTTTTAAAAGTCAGCAGCTACAGTTTTTGTAGCTGCTGACTTTTATTTTTTTACAAAGTAAGTGGAACTCCACTTTAAGGTGTGGCACTTGTAACCTTGCATTGGACATGATGACACTGAGAACTAGTTCACCACCGCTGCATGAGGGGGCGCCATCTGCTGGGGGAACAAAGGATCAGATAAGTTAAAGGATAAGTTCACCTTTGGAACATGTTACATGTTCCACTCGTTTTTAGGGTGAAACATGTGACATGTTCCCATAGCCGCAGCCACGCCTGCTGCCCCCCTCCCTCTGACAGATCGTACGGGGAGAAGTCTCCCTGTACTATCTGTCAGATTTGAAAAAAGCATGGCCATGCGGGGCTCCGCTCACGTGGACGCGTCACTCATTCTCAGTTTTCTGTGAATGAGTGCCTACAAGTCCCGACAGCCTTAGCGGCTGTGGGTTTGTAGTTTTCATTGAACTACCACGGCAATGTGGAGCTCCGTGGTAGTTCATCGAAGCTTCCTGTTAGAATATCTGCTTGACCGTACATCCCATATGGCAAGCACATACTCTGACAGGTCTGCAGGAGACTTGCATGGCATCAGTGATCTACTGATTGCTGATGCAATGCTTTCCGGGCTCCTGTGGCCAAAAATAATAAATACACATTTTTTTACCTGCAAAAAAAAGTGCATTTATTATTTTTGGCCAAAAGGTGAACTTATCCTATAAAGTGCTTCTCCTCTCCCTTAGACAAAAGGAGCAGTTAACCCTTTCTGTGTGAGGGCACCCCCAGTGGAAGGCAGTGGTGTATATAGGTTTTGTGCCGCCCTAGGCAATACAAAAATCGGCGCCCCCCACAAAGAGAGCCTGACATTGACCAACAACACCCCTGCCTTCCACCCAAGAGAGCCTCCCATTAACACTGCCCCCATACACCAGCCACCATCCCCCATGGCGAGAGAGCGAAAGAAACTCACCTTCACAGCTCTGGACATTCCTGGGAACGAGAGTAAGGTTGTGCATACACCGTCATGAAACCCGCAACCTCTCTTGGAACCCATCAGGTCCCCATGCAGCATGTGTCCCTTCTTCTGTTCCTTCTTCTGAGGGCCAGTACTGCCCCACATGAAATATGCCGCCCTAGGCAAATGCCTTGTTTGCCTTGTGGTAAATACACCCTTGGTGGAAGGGACAAAATAATATACAGAAGACGTAAGTCTGTTCATGTTGTTTTGAGGTAGGCCAGTTTCTTATTGTGGCAAATCAACATTATACTAAAATAAAACTAACAGAATTTATATATTCCTATTATGCTTAATATGTTTCTTTGTTTGCAGGTCATCTGGTGTTTGTTCCTCCTGCTCCTCATGCAGGACCTGCTCTTATAAGTGCCCTCAACATTCTAGAAGGGGCAAATCTTACCAAGCACACATCTCGGTCTAGCGCCTTGCACTGGATAGCAGAGGTGAGGCGCAGAAGTGTACCCGCAAGATAGCTGCCATGCAAAGCATTGACTTTCTGCAAGCCCTATATCCTGGGGTTAATTTACTAAAAGCAAATAGCCTGTCCACTTTGCAAGGTTGATTTTCCCCAGAGCTTAGTGAATGAGGTGAAGATTTGTTGACTTCCAACTTGTTCTAACTGTGCTTGCATGGGTTTCCTCCAGGTACTCTGATTTCCTCCCTCTCTCCAAAGACATGCTGGTAGGTTAATTGGCTCCTGTCTAAATTGGCCCTAGTATGTGTATGTATGAATGTGAGTTAGGGACCTTAGATTGCACGCTGCTTGAGGGTTTGGGAATGATGTGAAAGTACAATATATATAAAGCACTGTGTAAATTGATATCTCTATATAAATCTAGGTTAACACCTATATAGGTTGCATTTGGGGCGTTTCTGCATTGCATTTTTGCCACGTTTTTGCTGCATTTCGCTAGGGGGGTCTTTTTTTTTAATTTTTCTTGATGCTAGTTAGATTTAAATGCAAAATATGGCAAAACATGTTACATAGTTCAGTTCAACCATAAAATAAAAAAATTAAAAATAAAAAAAAGTTATAATGCTACACCCACATTTGATCCAGAGGAAGGCAAAAAAAACCCAGCAAAGCATGATCCAATTTGGAGAGTGCAAAATCTGGTGCAGCTCTGCATGGTAGCCAATCAGCTCCTAACTTCAGCTTGCTTAGTTACATAGTTAGTCTGGCTGAAAAAAGAAAAAGTCTATCCAGTTCAACCATTAAAAAAGAAAAAAGTTATAATCCTACACCCACAGTTGATCCAGAGGAAGGCAAAACAACCCAGCAAAGCATGATCCAATTTTCTCCTGCAGGAGAAAAAAATTCCTTCCTGATCCCCCGAGAGGCAATCGGATATTTCCTGGATCAACTTTACCTATAAATGTTATATCCAGATATATTCTGTGTATCTAGGAAAGAATCCAGGCCTTTTTTAAAGCAATCCACTGAGCTGGCCAGAACCAACTCTTGAGGGAGTCTATTCCACATTTTCTCAGCTCTTACTGTGAAGAAACCTTTCCGTGTTTGGAAAATAAATTTATTTTCCTCCAGACGTAAAGAGTGCCCCCTTGTCCTCTGTGATGACCTCAGGGTGAATAGCTCTACACCGAGTTCACTATATGAACCACTGATGTATTTATACATACTGATCATATCCCCCTTATGTATTATACATGGAGATCATATCCCCCCTTATGTATTATACATGGTGATCATATCCCCCCTTATGTATTATACATGGAGATCATATCCCCCCTTATGTATTATACATGGAGATCATATCCCCCCTTATGTATTATACATGGTGATCATATCCCCCCTTATGTATTATACATGGAGATCATATCCCCCCTTATGTATTATACATGGTGATCATATCCCCCCTTATGTATTATACATGGAGATCATATCCCCCCTTATGTATTATACATGGTGATCATATCCCCCCTTATGGATTATACATGGTGATCATATCCCCCCTTATGTATTATACATGGTGATCATATCCCCCTTATGTATTATACATGGCGATCATATCCCCCCTTATGTATTATACATGGAGATCATATCCCCCCTTATGTATTATACATGGAGATCATATCCCCCTTATGTATTATACATGGAGATCATATCCCCCCCTTATGTATTATACATGGAGATCATATCCCCCCTTATGTATTATACATGGAGATCATATCCCCTCTTATGTATTATACATGGAGATCATATCCCCCCTTATGTATTATACATGGAGATCATATCCCCCCTTATGTATTATACATGGAGATCATATCCCCCCTTATGTATTATACATGGAGAAGATATCCCCCCTTATGTATTATACATGGAGATCATATCCCCCCCTTATGTATTATACATGGAGATCATATCCCCCCTTATGTATTATACATGGAGATCATATCCCCCCTTATGTATTCTACATGGAGATCATATCCCCCTTATGTATTATACATGGAGATCATATCCCCCCTTAATCTCCATTTCTCAATAGAGAAGCAAAAACATGGCAAAAACGCAATACATGCTTTTCTGCAGGGTTCCCATTAAAGTGTATAGGACCAAAAACGCAACATTTTGCGTTCAAAAAAGTCCCTGACCTATTCCAAAAAACACACCCGGTGAAAATGCGGAGATGTAAACCCGTCACATAGGAAATCATGTTAAATGCAAGACGCAAAATGCTGCAGAAAACGCTTAGGTGTGAACCTAGGGTAAATACCTGTAATAAATAAATAAATAAATAAATAATAATCATCCAATCATGTGCAAGCAAAACATTTTTTTTTTTTTACATGATCGGGTATTCTTTGCAAAGTGAAATTTCACCTAATTTACTAGGCTGTGGGAGAAATTCCCTTGCAGAGTGAACAGTCTGACTGTTAAAATATTGCATCATCCAAAGCCAAAATGTTCTTTTCTCTCATTTTGGAAATAGAGTGGGGAAGTGTTGAAACCCATTTTTTTTAGCTATCTGTATCCCCAGTGGGGAGATTCAATTCTTCTATTATGGTGGTTGAAACCACAGCTCAGCCGCCCCTTTTGTACCGCCCCTCTGAAAGAGCCCTAAGAAGCAATTTGGCCCCACTTGTTGAGTCTTTGGAGCAGAAAGTCCCCAGCAGTACACAGCCAGCAAGGGGTTTTAATGATTCCATTCTGTATCCAAAGCTAACAATAAAGCTGGCTATACACTAGTAGATTATTAATCATAAACATTCATATGAACATTTGTACCAAAATTGAAAATTCTTAGTGTATTCAACGTGTTGATGAATATCGTTCAAAAGTACTTAAAATTTTAATTTGCTTTTAACATTCGATTTTGGAATGAATGGACTTTTCGAAACAAAAACCACATACACTGTTAAAAATGTGTTCATTCAAGAAAAAAAAATGTATCCTGATTCTTTGAATTTTCTCATCACTCACCCCACTAAAGATTAATAAACCAAATGAACATTCTTAAAAGAAATTAAAAACAGGGAATCTGAAGTTGGATAAACTTGCCAGGTGTGTGACCAGCTTGACAGGGTTTTTATTTCTGCAATCTCATGTATTTTAAAGCTGAATTCCAGGAATTCAGCTCCTTTGTAAAAGATGAAGGCATATTATGAGTTAAAGCGGAGTTCCACTCACTCTGTAAAAAAATAAAAGTCATCAGCTACAACAACTGTAGCTGCTGACTTCCAAAAAACAGCCACTCACCTGTCCCATGATCCTGCGTTGCCCCCGCCGCAGCCCGTTTCACCGGCCATCCTGTATTCCAGGCACCGTCATCTTCAGTGTGGGCACCTGGCTGTGACAGCTTGCGGCTTCACAGCCGGGTGCCCACTGTGCATGCGCGAATGTTCCCTGAATGTTCCTGAATGGCCCTGTTGTATTGTGGGACCTGTCATGTGTCCCACAAGACTATGGGGAGGGGGGGTTGGGAGGACAACTTCCACTTCCGATCGCCTAGGCCAGGGGTAGGCAACCTGCGGCTCTCCAGCTGTTGCAGGGCTACAAGTTCCATCATGCCTCTGCAAGTCATAGCTGTAACTGTCATTTTTGTAATGTTGCAATGCCTCATGGGAAATGTAGTTCCACAACAGCTAGAGAGCTGCAGGTTGCCTACCCCTGGCCTAGGCGATCAATTTTGGGTACCCGCTCACCCCCGCTCCCCATAGGTGCCAATCCTTAATGGGATGCGGAGGACCAATCATTAAAGCGGAACTTCCCCTTTTGGGTGGAACTCCAATTTAAGACCAAGGAGGTGCATGGCATCTTTTGAACTTATCTTTGTTATTTACATCTTACAGGTTTAGACAGCTATTGCTGTATTTCCAGGTAGCTGGAAGCTGACCCTTCTGCTCTCTGCATCTTCAACAGTAAAATTTAAATTCACCCAAGCTCAACGGCTGTATTGTTAAAGCAGAGCTCCACCCAAAAGAGGAAGTTCCACTTTAAGCCTTTGTCCCCTGCTCCCCATTAAGGATTGGCACCATTGGGGAGCTGGTACCCGAATTTGACAGGTCCCACTTCTGCTGCATTCGCCTAGGTGGAAGTTGTCCTCCCCCCTCTCTCCCCATAGTCTTCTGGGACACGTGACAGGTCCCAGAAGACTACGGGGCCATTCACAAAGCGCAGCACTTTTCACGCATGCGCAGTGTGCACCTAGCTGTGAAGCCACGAGCTGTCACTGCAGGGTGCCCACACTGAAGATGCCGGCGCCGTGGAGAGAAGACGGCCGTTGAAACCAGCGGTGGTGAGGACACCGCTGGACCGAGGGATAGGTAAGTGTCTGTATTTTAAAAGTCAGCAGCTATAGTTTTTGTAGCTGCTGACTTTTATTTTTTTTTTCCAGGTGGAACTCCGCTTTAATGAGAGCTGGAGGCCGGTGCTCAGGCTAAACCATTCACTTGTCTCAATGTAGTCTTTAAAGATGTTAGCCAGCAACTTGGATGCTTCTCAATATATTATCTTAATTGGTTACAAAATTTTGATATAGGATTTTCAGATGCTAACGTGTTTCGGCGCAAGCCTTCCTCGTCCAGGAGATGTCATGCACCTCGTTGGACTTAAGTCATAGTGTGCCTTCACTTTTTACAAAGTGGCTAAATTCCTGGAATTTAGCTTTAACATGTTTATAACAAAGCAGTATGTGTGTAGCGTGTGTATATATATATATATATATATATATATATATATATATATATATATTTAAATATATATATTTATTTTCTTTTCTAAACTACAGGCATTAAAAATTGCTCTGGGCTGTGCCAGCAAACTGGGCGATCCTTCATTTGACCTTACTGTCACCGGCTACGTCACAGAGTTAATAAGGTGAATACTACTATTTATGTGATATGTGCATTATTCCCAGTCACTTAAACCCCAAATCCACCCCAAACTGGAGTAAATACTTCTGTCAAGTTTTTGTTGTGGTCAGTGACCCCAGTTGCTGTTCTGTGCATTTGGGTTGTCCACCAGAATCACTATGGGCTGTATTTGTAAAAATATTTGCAGAGCTATTCATCTTGTGGAACTATATGTACATTTTTTTTATGCAAAATTGGACAAAAACAACTTTTTATAGGCTATTTGCTCCCCGGGTCAAATGTTCTTCATTTATAAGAATATAATAATTTAGGAAAATAACACATTATGGCCACTGGTTGAAGCAGACAACCATATTGAATAAGTATTTACTTCCTATTATTGACATCTCCATCTAGTGGCCATAATATGGCATTTTCAAATGAATAAATAACAATCAACCTGGAGAGGAAATAGCCTAACATTTATTTTTTCCCCCATTCACACAGCACGAATGTACATGCAGTTTCAGAGGACAAATAGTACACCCTATGTGTTTTTATGTTTTCTTTATGTTTTTATGTTCTCTTTGTCTATTAACTGGTTCTTCTTCTAGAAACATTACTCCAGTTATCTGATTTAACCCAATTGAGTCCTTGTTATCTATTAGTGTACTGCAGTTAGGCTGCATATACAGTAACAAGTATGGGGCTATAAATGAATGGGGCTGGCGAATGGACTGAACCTTAAGCTCATCCCTAGTCAAGACTTTGAAAATGCTAACAGGAGGAGAGAGTGGGGACTTATGCCTGGTACACATGGTAAGTTTTTTTCGTTCAACTCTGAATGAAAAAAAACTGGGGAGGTCTGTACTATGAGATGTTAGTACAGCGATCTCCCCGCTGTGCTATTGTGGACTGCCCCCTCGCCAGAACACACCGGTCAGCGCTTGTAGCCATTGGTTGAGAACACTGATCGGATGCCGATTGTCTGCTGGTTTTTCAGCATGCTCATTTGACAGAAGCCGGTCCTGGGAAATGAAGCAGAAGCAGGACACTGACTAAAGCCCTGTACATATGGACCGAATGTTGGCCATTTTCCACTGTACCGGTCAGGGGGGTGGACTGACAACTCATGGGGCCCCTGGGCAATAGGGGATCGTGGGGCCCCTGTGTCCTTGCCCAAACTCAAAAAAGCCTATGAAAAAGGTACCAAGGGCATCTAATGGGGCCCTCTACTGACCCCAGGCCCTCGGGCAGTGGTCTATGTGTCTAAGGCTTTAGTCAGTGTCCTGTTTCCCCTTGATTTTCCAATCACAGGCTGGTGCCAGGTGCGTGACCAAGCTGTACTGCTTAACTGTTGTAGAGAAAAGTGAAGTCACTAACCTTGCTAGGTTGTCTTTTGTGCATTGGTCCCTGATATTTGAAATCCTATTGGAGGTTCATATAGCAGGGGTGTCAAACTGGCAGCCCTCCAGCTGTTGCGAAATTACAAGTCCCATCATGCCTCTGCCTTTGGGAGTCATGCTTGTAACTGTCAATCTTGCATTGCCTCATGGGACTTGTAGTTTGGCAACAGCTGGAGGGCCGCCAGTTTGACACCTGTGATCTATAGTATATCAGCTCTGTGTTTAGCTGTTTACCTGAGGTTCAGCGGTTATTTTAGACAGTTGCCATACTGTACCCCCAGCAGGGGGTTGACAGTTTTGTTGGGGAGAAAAATAACTTTCAGATTTACCTTTAATAGTAATAAAAAGTTTCAGTTTAGGGATATACAGTATCTCAGCCTTTTTCAACCAGGGCGCTCAGGCACCCTGGGGTGCCTTCAGGCTTCTTCAGGGGTGCCTTCAGGCTTCTTCAGGGGTGCCTTCAGGCTTCTTCAGGGGTGCCTTGGCAAAATGCCCATAAATTGTATGCAAGCCAGCAGGTGGATCAATCCTGCCTTTTAGTACACAAAGCCACAGGTTTTCATTGTGCGCTTTTATGACCTTCTACCTGCCAGCATCCTAACAACCAATGACATCATCAGTTGATAAGAAGGACGTTGGGTGCATGCACATCATCTTTGTTTGGCCCTCCCCTGCCCCTCTCCATCAGAATTGGGGTAACATTAGCAGACTGAAGGAGAGAAAATGGGAGAGATACACTGGAATACTATTCGGTACCAGTGTGCAAAGGTGTAGTTTGCTTTGGAAGAATAAATCACTTCTAATATTGGGCTTGCTCGATGTGTGTAGAATAGTTTTTTACATTTTAGGAATACCTTGAGATTATCCTTGATTTTAAAGGGTGCCTTGACTGCAAAAAGGTTGAGAAACACTGCAGTATCTAGTACTAAAATATATACCATAGCAACAGCTACCTCTGGTGACAAGTCTCTACAACTGCATGATCTCCGATTGCTAGCTTGCCTAGTGCAGTGTTTCTCAACCTTTTTTCAGTCAAGGCACCCTTTAAAATTATGGACAGTCTTGGGGCACCCTTTAAAATTATGGACAGTCTTAAGGCACCCCGTTCTAAAATGTGAAAAACTATTCTAATAGTTTTATATAACACAGCAACATCCACACATGTAGAACACCCATTAGAGGTGATTTATTCTTCCAAAGCAAATACACTTCACACTGGTACTGACTAGTATTCCCATGTTTCTCTTCTCCCTCAGTTTTCCTCCATCACTGAGCTAATGTGACCCCAGCACTGATGGAGGGGGGCAGGGGATGATCAAACTAGGATGCTGTGCAGGCAGCTGACATCCTCCTTATCAACTGATGATGTCATTGGTTGTCAGGACGCCAGCTGCTAGAAGGCCGTAATAGTGTACTATGAAAACCTGCAGCGTTGTGTAACTAAAAGACAGGCTTGTTCCACTGGCTGGCTTGTATATAAGCTTTGGGCAATTTTTAGACATTTTGCCAGGGCAGCCCTGAAAAAACCTCAAGGCACCCCAGGGTGCCTGGGCACCCTGGTTTAGAAAAGCTGGCCTAATGTATGTAATTACCCCAGGTTCACATTTATGCAGATTTCAGTGCATTTTCCATCTTACAGGAATGTGCTACAGTCCATTTAACAAGATTTCTTATAGATGTATTTCACATCTGCGCATTTTGAACTGGTGCATTTTTTTGGAAAGGGTCAGGGACTTTTTTTTCTTGCATCAGATTGCGTTTTGCATGTAATAGACTTCCATGGACCTGCAACAAAAGCGCAAGTGTTGCGTTTTTGATGCAGTTTGTGTGTGGGGGGGGGGTTCTTGCTAATTCGTGTAGTGCGACTTTGATGCAACTTTGATGTGACTTTACACTTTCTGGCACTCAAGTAGCATTACAGCAGCATCAAAGTTGCATCAAAGTAGTGCAGGAGCCCTTAATGTGTCCAAAGTCGCATTGTTTTTGGCTAATAGGAAAGTATGACAGTTCTGTTCATGTAGTGCGACTTTGAAGCTGCTTGAGTGCCAGATAGTGTAAAGTCACATCAAAGTCACACTACAAGAACAGAACTGTCATACTTTCCAATTAGCTGAAAAAAAAGAAAAACGCATTAAAAACATGTATTTAAAAAAATGCACCGCAAAACACGGCAGAAAAACACATCAACTGCATCTTGCATAGATGTGAACCTAGCCTTATTAAGGGATAACTAAATCTAAAACCCAAAATGTAATATATTGCAGCTTATCAATCCTTAGGGTTGCTGGTTGTGTTACTTTGAATTTTCAGGCTTTGAATTTCCTTTGAGCACAGCACAACCATCCCGATCAGTGTGCTTACAGTGAAGCACAAACCCCCCGCCCCCTAGTAAAACACTCCCTACACGCAGTTAACCCTTTGATAGCCCCTCACATTAATCCCTTCCTGCCCAGTGGCATTAGTACAGTGTCAGTACTGGTTTTTTAACACTGATCACTGTATTGGTATCACAGGGGATGTCAGTGACACTAAGTTAGTTCCCTTCCAGTGTCAGAATGCCTGCTGCAGTCCCGCTAAATGTCGCTGATTACGAGTAGGGAAAAAAAAAATCCTGGTCTCTATACGCCATTTGTAAACGCTATAACTTTCACGTAAACCAATTAATTTACATGTTTTGGGATTTTTTTTAGCAAAGACATGTAGAAGAATACATTTTGACCTAAATATAAGCCAAAATTTTATTTATAAATTTTGTTACTGAACATGTTTAATAGCAAATAGTCAAAAATATTGTTTTTTTCTCAAAATTGTATTGGTATTTTTTTGCTTATAGCGCAAAAAATAAAAAAATGCACATGCAATCAAATACCACCTAAAGTAAGCTCAATTCGTGGGAAAAAGAGGACACAAATCTCATTTGGGTGTGGCATTGCATGACCGCGCAATTGTCAGTTAAAGTAACACAGCGCTGTAACGCAAAAAATGGCCTGGTCAGGAAGGGGGGTAAATCCTCTGGAGGGCAAGTGGTTAAGCTTTGAAATAAAACCTGAAAGCTTATTGGCTACCATGCACAACTGTACCAGATTTTGCCCTCTCCAGTTTTATTAAATCAACCCCAAAGTGTCTGTTACCAGCCCTGAGCTCAGGCAGAACACGGGTCAGCCTATGTAGGAGCATTTCAGCCCACTACTGAGTTAACGTGTTCCCTAATAGGGATAGAATACAAGTAAATAGCAGAGCACATACCTATCCCTAACAGGTAAAGCTCCTCTTTATTAACAACCTGAAGCACAACTGAAATTTGATCAATTTCTCTCTAAAACTAAATAATTTTTTGCAGACTTCTATAGACTTTTTATGATCTTACATGAATTCTATTTTGTCAGTAAGGCGGAATCCAGCTTCTTCCGGAAAAAGATCAATGAATCTCATGCTGCCAACCCTAAGGATTATGTGCCCTTTCACACCCTGCACGTCGGTCCATCTGCTAGCCAGGCTTTAGTGGTTGGTCCTGATGACTTTATTGTGGCTGTGGTCAGGTGAGTAATTGTGACACAGTTTGTCAGAAAGGACACAACTCTTTTCTCATTTCCTCTTGTGTCTTTTTTTCCCTGTAGCTCATTAAACCGTCCATTTGGCAGTATGATAATGACTACATCGGGGGTCCTTCTCAACAGCCAGATCCTAGACTTTTCTTGGAGCAATAAGAGCAACAACAGCTCTTCCCCAAATCCCGTAAGTGGTATTTTATGTAACACAATTATATTATTGGGTTTATTTAATAATGTAGTTACTTTTAAAATGTACCTAAAGCTAAAACATTTTCTACTATTGGATGTAGTAAGGAAGGTTTAGAAACTTGTTTAGTGTCTTATTGCTGTCTGCTTCACACCTGGGGAGATTCATTCTCTCTCTTTGTCCTGGTGACGTGGTGACCGTTGTCATTGGGGCAGAAGTTGATGTGATATCCAGACTTTTACAGTTGTCACCTGAAAAGGTATAGAGGGCAAATTTTCCAGTGGGGAAACCTGTACCAATGGAAGCTACCGTATCTAAGATGGGTTGCTTCTCAAGTAAGTGGAAATCTCCTCGATTGGACACACACCAGGAAACAAAAACCTTCCAGAAGTTTTATTCCTACTTTCAAAACTAAAAAAATAAAAGTTTTGGCTTTAGATGTACTTTTGTAAAGTGTACTGTAGAGCGTAACACTAACTCGGAGGACAGTATTGGTAATGGCTGAAGGTCCACATACATTGCCCTCATAACATACAGGCTTCTTCTCCAATCACTTGGAAACCAGGTGTTCAGATGTTAGGGAAAAGTAACTTGTAGCCTTTCTCTAACCATGATGTTTTTTTAAAGACTTGAGAAGACCCCACTGGAGACATTTACAAATGATAGCAGGATGAGAAATTAGGGGAGCAGGTGTCACTGGGACAGGAAAACAGGCATTAGTAACACACTGACAGAGGTTCTAATACTTTCCCAATTTATTGAAAAGAGGAATTTTTTGTGATCTGTGTTCCCAATGGAGAAATTTCCCATAATTTTCTGCAAGTGAGGGAAATTTGTCTTAGCGGCACAATTCCCGGGTTTCTGTACAGAATCAAGTTGGAATTCGGTTGGAAACGCTGCCCGGTAGTTGGTAGGTGTACCAGCACCATTATGACAGGCAGGAAGCAAGCAAAGGTATACAAAACACAATCCAGTCCACAATTAATTATTTCAGGTGCTTTATTTTGCTGATCTGCCTAATTTTTGAGGCCTACTAGTCTAAATGATCATTTTACTTGTTTCATCTGCAGCAGAACATTGTTGAACCTGGAAAAAGACCCCTCTCTTTCCTGCTTCCCACTGTGGTGAGGCCTGCACAAGGTCTTTGTGGTACTTACCTTTCCCTTGGAGGATCAAATGGAGAACGTGCCCTCTCTGGCATTACTCAGGTCAGACAGTACAACTGTTTTATTTTCTACCCATAGCTTTTTTTTAACATATATCACTGTTTCTACTGTCATTGTTCTGAAACAAAATCAAGATAAACCACACACTGTGCCTGCTTCACAAACTAGGCAGTCAACTGGTTTTTAAAGCAACTCGAAATGGTTCTGCTTCAGGCAACCAGAGACAGCAACAGAATGATGGTTGTATGAGTGTTGGTGGTGGGTTGTCCTGTTCATAACTCCCAAAATAAAATAGTTTAGTATTATCACAATTAATTTGGGACACTGAATAATGAATAGAGAGCTTACCAGAATAGTGTAAAATCCTCAATTTTATTCAAATAAATGTCTTGTACTCCTGAAATACTTGATGTGAATACATATCTTGTGCATATTAAAATCCATAACATCCAAAGGCCCTCAGAACAGTAGGCACAATTCTTCAACGTCCGAACGTTTACAATTAACATAGGTGCTGCCCTAATGTCGTAGAAATGGCTTACGTGCTTTGAGGATGACTACCATGGGCACCAGAGGTATACCCATTCTGGGCCTTCAGAGTTAAATTGAAACTATTGGCATTCTGTTCTTTAAGCCAGGCTGTTTAAAGGCCAGATTCACTAAACGATTCAAAATCTATGTTCTGTATACCCAAACAGACATTGAATCAAATGCTGGTTTCCTATTTACATGGCATCTGGTTGCATGATATCCCCCTTGTCCCATGGTGGCTATTACAGAGACAAATGATGGTCTGACATTGTCCCTGTAGATTTTCTGTAATGAAGAATGAAAAAAATATTTCAATAGTTAGCCTACAGGACAGTAAATTTCTCATTATGCCCTTGTTTGATGGGACAGAGGCACATATTACTGGATGGATATTTTGCTAATAGATTCTCTGAAAGATACAAGAAGCTAGTGGGTGATTCAGTTGATGCTCACCTAGAAATACGCAGAGTTGACCTTTAGTCTATGAACTGTTTTAAAGCTTTAGAATGCTTCTAATGGCCACAAATACACTGGTGCTGCTGTAGGGTTGTGTGGGTTGTGGACCACACCCAAGTGACACCTGCCAGAGGTGTAACAGGGCCGTCATCAGGGGGGGACAGCCACATGTAGGGGGCCTGGGCATCATGAGCAGTGTTGCCAATGATTCTTCTGTGGCTCTGCCGCTACAGTCCCCCTCCCGTCTGCCCCTGCCAGCATTAGTGGTTGGTTGCTGAGTCCACTTGGCACCTAGCAACCAACCACGTGGTAGGTCTGCCCACACCATTCAATTGAGGGGAAGTTAACTGAACATCCTCATCTAGACATGGCTCCTGAACTGTGTTCCCGGGCCCACCAAATCCCGCCCATCGAGTCCCTCCCACAGAGTTCTGGCTACTGGTTCCTGGCTCCAAGTCTTCCATCCAGCCCACGGTAAGGGAATTCAATGTGGGGAACACTTTTAGGGAAACCTCTAATGATGGCGACACTGATGGGGGTAACTCTTATGATGGGGACACTGATGGGGGTAACTCTAATGATGGGGGACCTCTAATGATAGGGACACTGATGGAGGGATCTTTAATGGGGGGGGCCCTTATGAAGGGACCTCTAATGAGGTGGAGACTGATGGAGGGACCTTTCATGAGGGGAACACTGATGGGGAACATCTAATGATGGGGACACTGCTGCGTGGAAGCCTAGCTAAATAGAATACTTGCTCCAGTCCCAATAAGTATTTTTTTACTTATTTAATAATTTTTTTAGTTAAATTACTATATAACTTCATTTTTTGCTTACAGGTCCTGCTAAATGTTTTATCATTTAACAAGAATCTGAGCGATAGTATATCTCAAGGACGGCTGCATCCAGACCTCGAGACTAACCTCCTGCAAATTGATAGTGAGTTGTCTATAATATATATTATACTGTATTAAGATGGTCATAGAATTAGGAGGGCTGTTGACTGTGCAGACATGACCTAACTGCCACGTGTATGCCCATGGTGTACAGTAAGTGCTTCTTGACCAGGCATGCAAAAAGTAAAATCAATCATAAAAATGCTAATAGTTCCCAGACACAACAACTGTGCTTGTACTATGCTTTCCTTACCCTGAATTCTCCATAATTCACTTCATCATGGGTTCTGGAAGGGTCTGCTTCTGAAACCTGTACTGTGCAGCGTTTCCTATATATAAACAGCCAGTCTTATGATTCACACCTGCCAACCACAGTGCATGCCGGGCAGATGATGCCGTTATTTCCTGTTTCAGCTTTGCAACTTCCTGTGTCAGTGACACTGACTTGGATAATGAATCTGTAGTATGATGAAGCTGATACATTGTCAAGTGAACATAAAGGTGTAAAAGGGAGCTGCAAAGCTGAAACATGAAACAGTTGTATCCTCTACCTGCTTATGCAGTGACAAGAGTGTGTGAATTATAAGACTAGCTGAACAGAATTATTCATTTCCAGGCAGGCAAAGTAGTTCACATATTGGTATTTCAACTGTGTATCTGATTTACTTTGCTCTTCGCTCGTGCACACCTGGCAAGGAGAAAAACAACTATGAGTCTAAGTCATGTTTTTTCAAACACATTTAGGCATGTTGCACGCTTAGGTGTTTATTAATTTAATTGGCCAGACTATTAATTCATTCTGGTCATTGAAATAAAAAAATGCTCAAGTGCTAATTGTGTCTAGCTTTAACGCACGTTTAGATGCATTTACCCACGTTTAAGCATGTCAAGCAATTTGCTTTTGAGAAAACGGTCCCTTCTTGAACACACAAGTGATGTTTTTTTTCCGGCCTCTAATCGCCTGTAAACGCCTATGTGTGGAGGTTAACATGGAGGGCAGTTTAGAAGCACAGAAAAAAAACACTCAAATGCCTGTAAAAGCAACATTTTTTTAGTTGAAGTGTGCATGAGGCCTAAATGCAACTTGTCATTTAAACTGTGGCCAGATTCGGTTGACATTCAGTGCACTACTGACTAGACAATCTGCTGTATTTCTTTATCTCTGAAAAATAACCATATATATATATATATTTGTCATTAGGTGATTTTCCAGAAAATGATACCCAGGGCCTGGAATTGAAAGGACACCGGCTAGACCAGACACACATCCTCTCTTTGGTCCATGGTTCACGCAGGAGCAACGATCTGATCATCGGTATCAAAGACCCTCGAAGTAGCGATGCAGAAGCTGCCACCATTTTGTAACAACTCCTGGTCAGATGTACACCAATTTCCTGTACGAAACAAAAACAATGCGGATACCCCAAGCCAAAACCCTCTGAACTTTCACTTTGAATTTTAAGACCATTTTTCACCGTTATTGAACACACAGTAGGGACATGTCTATTAGTGTCTCCATGACCAAATTTGAAATCTGAATAATGTTTCTTTAACCAGATTAAACTAAAATTCTTATCTGCCTTTAAAATTTATTTAGACTACTATGCTGAACACAGACTGGCAGGTATTTATTCAAGATAAAAGGTTTCCTTCACCACCCCTAGCAAAATGTGATCATTTCGTCAGACTCCAAGAATCCTCCAAGCTCGTAGATTATCCACCTGCTGCAGCCATTACAAGAAGGTCTTGCTCTCTTGTTGGACCATTTTTATATTATTATTTATTTTATGCAGCAGGATGGGGGGAGACTCTCTGTTATAGCAGAATAAATTAAAGCGGAGGATAAAGAAAGCCTTCAGTGTTTCTAAGGCGTTGATTATCCATAGGAAATAGACGGAGAATCCAGTCCTTGGGGGGTAGAGGGGACAAGGAAGTTCTGTTCACAGAGGTGGAGCTAGATCACCATGAAGGGTCAGGAACTGCAGCAAAGATCTGGTTTGGGATTTAAACGTTTAAGGTCAACTCCATTATATTGAATCATAACTAAGGAAAGTAATATGAGAAGGTGAGGTGGTGGAGTGCTGGACCCCACTGTAGGTATGACAATCTAGTGTGACACTTGTGTATAAAGCAGCTCTCAAATGTACAAAGGGACCTGACTTGGCCCACAGAATAATGTCCTGAAGGTTAAGGAAAAATACATTGTCAAAATATTGTTGACAGTCTAGAACAGGGGCGTCAAACTCAATTTCATCATTGGCCGCATCTCTGCTGCCGACTGCTGAGACAAGGTGGGGCGGATACAAGGGGGGGGAGGGAGGGTGCTGCAAGAGAGGGCCACATGAAATGACCTGGCAAGCCAGATTCGGCCTGTGGGCCTTGTGTTGGACACATGTCATCTAGATTAGGTTTTTTATCAGTAATTGTATATGAAACAGCATGTGCCAAGGGGACATCTTATTTAGGGTTTAATTTTGATGGACTGAAAAATGTTTGCAAATCCAGAATCTGGATAGGTTTGCCTAACAGCTAAATCAATGATCAATATTATCTTCAAATTCCCAAACATTTTCACCTAAACCACCACTCTTAGTCCAGCATCATCAAACCATGGAAATCCCAAAATGCATTGGGTATTCTTAAATAATTCCTGTGATGCATAAACTTTATCTGAACTGTTAAAAATATCAAGGTACTGTCTTTTTCTACAAACGTCGAGAAGCAGCATGTCAGTTTGGTAGCACCATATTGTGCTTGCTTTAACCTTTCTAGTGTTCCCTCTGGAACTCCAGAAAGAAAAAAACAGCACTTTTGTGCATTAGCGAACATGTGACACTAATCCTCCCACAACTCAAAGCTCAGTGCCTCAGCGGGCAGATGTCAGGCTTAGTTGCTGTTGCATGTGGGATGGGTGTTAGTTTCTTTAGTGGAGAGTTCCAAACTAAGACATTACTACTTTTTAATTGCATATTGGGGCATGTTGTTTTAAGATTGTTGAAACTCTTAAGCTAACCACAAACTTTAAATTCTGGATACAGTCTAGTCTCCTTTGGATTAATCGACAATTACTCTATGGCCAAAAGGTTTTGGACTCCTGACCATCACATCTAGGCTATATGACTAAGAGTATGTAGAGAGGCCTCCAAATTATTGACTTGCACTGTTATTGCTACAGCATGCAAAGACATGTATGACAATTGTGCACTTCCAACCTTGTGGCAACAGTTTGGTGAAGGCTCTTTCATGTTCCAGCATTACTATGTCCCTGTGCACAAAGACCACTCCATAAAGACATGATTTGATGAGTATGGTCTGCAAGAACTGAAGTGGCCTGCACAAAGTCCAAACCTCAACCCCAATGGTCACCTTTGGTAGGAACTGAAATGCCTACTGCAAGCCAGATCTCCTCATCCATCATCAGTACCTGAACTCAAATATGTTGTTTTTTGGTTAAATGGATGCACATTCCAAGAGCTTGTGGAAAGTCTTCCCAGAGGACTAGAAGCTGTTATGGATGTAAATCAACTCTATATTAACGTCTGTGCTTTTTTCCAATGGGAGTCATATAGTTGTGATGGTCAGGTGCCCACAAACGTTTGGCCATATAGTGTCCTTAGTTGCAATTCAGTGCAGAGTCACTTTAAAACTGTTGTATGGAACTCCTTACCTGGCCCCAAATATTGCATTCTAACTGCACAATCTCCTTCAGATAACAGCTACAGTATGTAACTCCAAGGCCTGCCTAACTGGATATAAAATGGATGTATTCTGCAGTTAGGCCTTCACACTACATAGTTTGGTAAAGCTAAGAGACATTGTGCAAAATTAGTAAAATCAGATTGCAGCGTGTGTGACCATCTTTACATTTTCATCTGATCAACCTACAAATCAACCTATGTATCACCAGCTTTTAGCGTAAGGCTGATGACACATGGGTGACTTTTTAGTGGTCCTGCTGAAGTGGATGTTTTGCCAAAAATCACCAGCAGCAGAATCGCAAAAAGGCTTTGTAGGTGAGGCAGCAAGATGTCGCTCTCATTGCTAGTGATTGAGATTCAGCTACCATTAGAGCAACATCTCATTGCGTGTGGCTGCAGAGGAAGTAATTTCATTGGGACACAAAGGCAGCCTTTTTAGTGAACCTGCCATGGACAATTGGTCTCTAGTGACAGAAGCTCCTGTGTGACATCAGCCTAAAGCCACTTCCAATGTTATCCATTAAAGAGGACAAGTGAAGCACTTTAATTTTTTTAGTGACCTCCCCCCATTACCCCAAAAATATAGTTTCTGTAAAGAGATTTCACTGAGGTATAACCTGATTATAATGCCTTTTCTAAATGCTCTTGTACTTTTGGATAAATTCATCTTTTTTTATTTGTTTTCTACATAACAATTATTAAAACCTATGAACCCCAACACATAGGCCAAAGCAAGCAAAAGCATCTATGAGAACTGTAAGACTGGTGACATATTTTTTACTTGCTGTTAATACACCTATCACATTGCTGTAGTAATATGTACACCTGTTAAATCAGTGTGATGGCTTTTTGCACATGTGAGATTTATTCACAAAATTAAAGTAAAGACGTTGGATTTGCACATATTGTAAGAACAAATTATGTCTTTTTAGTCTATGCCATGTGCCATTTGTCTTTGTATGAACAATACATGCTCTGTAATTATTGGGGCTGACTATGTGTATTTTGCATCTGTTCAATTGGAAGGATAAACAATATGATACATTTGCCTTTTGTGTGACTTTGTTTTTAAAAGGGAAACCATAGTTGCAATATCTCATAGCACCATCTATATGTGTCACGGGAGCCTCTAGTTGTATTGGGTCCTCTGTTCTTACCTTGACCTTGACAAAGACCTTGACACCTCTGACACCTTGGGTATACACGTCAATAGACAAAGACTAATAATTTTCGGTAGTATGTTAGGGACATAATGAAATGAGACTCGAGAGCTTAAAGAAGAATATGGGCAGCACAGTGGCTAAATGGTTAACATTTCTGCCATTGGCTCCTGTCTAAATTGGCCCTAGTACGTATGAATGTAAGTTAGGGACCTTAGATTGTATGCCCCTTGAGGGTTAGGAACTGATGTGAATGTACAATATATATGTAAAGCACTGCACAAATTGACAGCGCTATATAGATACCTAAAAAAATTACAAATAGCAACGCATATTGAGAATATGAATATTCAAAAGGGTCAGAATATTGCAATGAGACACACATTATGACATACACAGTTTCAAACTTCAAATGATAGAATAGACATGCTACTTTAGGTTCTGACAGGGTCAGCATAAGCTGTAGCTGTCCTCACCAAATGAGCAGCCCAAGACAACCATAATGGAATAACAATAGATTATAGGTTAAGTTGTTTAGAGTCACTTAGAATGAGGAGGCTAAGCCTAGGCTGTACTTGGTGGCTGCAAGATATCACTAAACCCCTAATCATAAAGAATAGCAAGTACTCTGACACAGTCCTTAACGTAAGTCTTCTGCCAGCTACGTTGGGGCCCTTAAGGGCATTAGCGTGCTTGAGGAAATGTTGCTGTAGCAGGGAATTGGTTTGTAGATGTCAGGAGCATTACACGGTTCCATGGCATCTGCTGGTCTCATTCCAGCAGTTGGTTTTGGTGGAGCCACACTCTCCCGGCTGTCCACCTGCAGAGTGATTGCTAGACACAGCCTCTGAGTGGTGTTCAAAAATGTTTTAAGCCCACCAAGCTCTCACAGTTATGCTTGTAACAGTGTTTGCCACACGTGCATCAAGCTCCCTGTTTTCCTGTCTTGTTCCCGGGCCTTGACCTTCATCTTCGCCCAAGCTCTGCCAGCTAGTTTTGGATTCCCTTGTTGTCATATCGGATTTTGACGACGCTTAGAATTCAGCCTGCTTTTTGACCACAGATTTTACCCTGACTATTCTTTGAAAGTTGCTTGCCCTGAACCCTGTCACTGGACCACTCTGCCTGTCTGTCAACCGCAAATACCTGTTTGCTGTGCTTAGTTCACACCTGCATGGTAGTCAGGCCCTATACCACTGTGTAAAAGACCTGGGTGCAACTGAGTAGGAGTAGGCCTGGTTACTACTTAATGGGAAATGGGGCTGCTATAGGCAAAGAACACAGAAGCCAGATATAGTGCTTGACTACCAATGCTAGGCGTGACAGTAGAGCACCAATTTTCTAGAAACACTGAATGGAGGAGTGTCCAGTCAAGGGTTAATTCTCCAGGGTATAGTAATAAATATTAAAGTGCACAGTTCTGAGCAGCAGGACTGTTGATGGTTGTTAATGGGCAACAGGTGGTGCCTTTAAGAAGATAGGGGCAGTATTGTTTTCCAATAGATTT